AAGGGCATCAATGAACAGCAAGCCTTTGAAGGGAAGGAGGGAGCCTTCCTTGACTCGCAGGTTGGAATGGGCTGAACTTTCTGCATCAGCCAAGAAAGAAGAAGTACTGCACTGGGCTGTGGTGGAGCTCCAGTGTAAGCATTTCCCATATCTCAGGGGTTACCAAGTGCTGTCACAGTTAATGCCCTCAAGGTTTGTTAATGGGTTCCAGCTTAAAACAGTGGCAACTCCTTAATGGAAAATCCCACGTGATAAAGCACACATCCTTTATTTTGCTTTAAATGGGGATGGTGAGGTGGCATGCAGCCGGTGGGCGCGAGGGCTGCGCGGTCTCCTCTGCTCTGTTCCAGGGATATCAGCCCCGTGTTGTTTCTGGACATTGCTCATGCTGGCAACGTTTCAGGGAACTTCAGAAAAAGCAAATAAGGTGTGAAGTTACCGACAGTCTGTAAAAGCAAGGACAAAACTTGCTTACGCAGCCTGCAGAAGGACGGAGTGTTCCTGCGTCTGAGGCTGGTGGTGCTTCTCCTGTGTCCTGCAGGCATCGATCTGCTGTGCACATCCCTGCAGGGAGCTCAGGAGTCTGGTGTCACGCTCTGTTCCCAAGGAGTAAAGGGCAAGGGGGAGCTTTTATTTCCTTATGGTTCATTTTTCTTCCTTTAATTCCTGCTTTTGGTGGATGCTGACTGCCAGGGGACTTGCACAGACTGTGCTTCTTCAGTAGTTCTGATTCTGGTGGTGAGTCCTTTGTTGTTACCCTCGTTGCAGAGTGACTCCGTGTGTGTTCCATAAACCAGGTCAGGCTTCTTTTACAGGTACTGAAAGTCAGCGTGTGGGTCTCGTGTCCTCCTTTGTGTTAATTTATGTTGCTAATTTGTGTTGTAAATGCCCTTCCAACCTCTGTTCTAAGGTTATCCAAACTGTTTAAGGAAATGCTGATACCTATTTTCAAAACTTGCAAAGTCACTGACGTTGCTTCTCAGTAGGACCTGCAAATTTGGTCCCATAGGAAATGCGGCACGGAGAGCATGGATCCCTGTGCCCGAAGAGATGTCTCAGTCCTTTCCCTGCAAAGAACAGGGAATGCAAAGTCTAAATTCTCGCTTTATCCCTTCTCCATGTTAACTTCTGCCCACTAGTAACTTATGACTTCGGCTGCTTTCTCCTTGTGTAAACTCTGCAATAACTTTTCCACAACCTTCATTTTTAGGCATTCCCCAGAAGCACATCAGGAGAAATTTATCCTCAGGGTGAATAAATGTGAGTGTGCTTCTCAAGAGTAGGTTGGTGATCAGCATGTAAGAGGATCCCATAATGCTGCGCAGGACGTGTGCGGTCTTAAAAATCTGCCATACCAAAATTAGCTTTTAATTGAATTTCCCAGTGTTCTGCGATTTCTCTTTTTGAGAGTCAGTGGTGTTTACATCAGAAGGGAATGTCACTGCAGACGTGCTCTACTTGGGGCTGTAGGAGTGGTCTGCTCCCTTGTGAAACACAGCGTGTGTCGTGGGGAAAGCTGGCACATCACTTGTGTATCCTGCGTCATCAGAGGTATGGATCTATTGATGCAAAATTAAATTAATTATATAGACTAATTTAGAAAATGAATGTTAATTGAGAATTCCTGTTCAGACACACACGTCCCGCTAACGTGGTGGGTTTTGCTGTCTTTGCATTGTTGACTATCAGACACCTCAGTCTGGATGCCTGGAAAATGTGATGCAGGGAGGTGCAGCTCAGTAATGCACCAAGTAGTAGGAAAATGAGGTGGAATTTTGTATGTGTAAAACTCAGAAATCACTGCAAAGCAGCGATGGTTGTGGGGGAAAAGGACTGACCTTTGGGAATTTGGGTCGGTTATGATGGGAGTGTGCAGCTGGTTGGTTCACTGCTCATCCTAATGGACATGGGAAGCTCAACATTTCTGCTAGGGGATAGAGAGCTGCAGGAAAACTGATAGGAGGATATTGTGGCGTTCGCCTCTCTGTCAATGAGCTTGGACTAGAAAGTGGTAGAGAAGGATGCGTGCTTTGGGTGCTCTACAGGGCATATCTGCCTCATAAAAGACAGTTATAGACAGAAGCAATCTTTACAAAATAATTCAGGGATTTTTACGGCATGTTTTTACATGCTGAGTGGCTCTTCTCCCTCCCATGCTGACAAATGCTTGCTGTGTTAGCTGTTTAGCAGAGTGGTACATATGGCTAAATGAATAATTTAGATGGAAGTCCCAGTTCATACACCTAACAATGGCACGAAGTCTAAACCTCTAGATGAGAGAGAAATTGGTTGTTTTCGTGCTAAGACCACAAATACCCACTCTCCTGTGATGCACAGAACACTTGGTGCCATTGGTTGAGAAAGCTGTCGTGGAACCCAAGGCAGCCATGATTATTGAACATGGTGCTCCTCCTGGTGGGTTATCTCTCAGTCTGCTGTCCTCTTGCAGCCAACAGCTGCCAGGTCTGGGGGAGAAGTCAGCATTTTTGGGTGGGGAAAGGCAGCACCAACACTTTTTCCTAAGAGTTTCAGTAGCAGTGAATGTAATATTGTGAATGTTTCCTGAAAACACAACCAATGAGTCTTTGCTGGGTGCTGCCTGCTGTACAGGAAGGAATATGCAATTTTCTCTAATTTTTTAGTGTCTGGTTGTGGTGTGTAGGCGTGATTCCGTGTTGTGTGAGGTAAGTACTCCATTTCTAGCCACAGCACGCATCTCTAGACTGGCTGGGCAAGTGTGTTGGCTCCTGGATGGAAACCTCAGCAGGGTCTGGGAGGAATCGCATCGCTGCTCTGCTCTTGTCATGCAGTCAGCTTGAGGAAGTCCAGAATTCTACATAAGATCAAGATGTCTTGATTTACCTTTATAAAAAATAAATATGTCCCTTTTGGAGGTATATCTGGCTTAATAAGGGAAGAGCAGAGCTGCTCCATGGAGCACCAGCACACCAAACACCAAACTGCTGCACTCTGTGCTGCATGCTGTTCCTTAATTCTGTTTACAATAAATAAATAAAATAATTGATTGAAATGCAGTGCACATTCCGAGTGGTTAATTAGGAGATGAACAATTTTGGAAGAGATTACTGGATATATAAGGTTTTTCTTTTTTTCTTTTTCCTTTTTTTTTTTTTTTTCTGAAAGATTCTAGTGTGGACACAGGTGAATGTTGCTGTTATGGACTTGTTTCCTTAACACACATTCTTCTAAGATACTGACGCATTTGGAACAAGCGTCTTAAGTTTCTCCCATATAAAAACCACAGCTGAATAGGTGAATGCTTTTCAGCAGTAGCTCAGGCAGTTCCAAAATGCTTTCAGCAACATCATTACCACATCCAGTGAGTCCACCCCGCGTCCGCTGCTGCAAAAACATCCGCTCCTCGCAGTGCTGCTTAGTGAGTTCTGAAGGGAAGAAAATTGCTTTGGGTAATAAAAATGACACACAAAAGACAGAAGCTGTGATTTATTTTGGGAGATTGAGTAGAGTGGCAAGCAGCACTTTAAAGGTCACTTGTCTCAAATAAACCTTATATCTCTCTCAGATTTAAAGAGATGCTGCAGTGTTTCCTTACACCTAGCTTGCATTAAATGTCTTTCCCAATAACATATGGCAAAGTCCAGCTGGAGCAGCGTGGGTGCCCATGTGCTTTATAGGTGATGGAAATTAATGTGAGTGCTGGCTGGGGGAGTGGAGATCAGTTCTAAGTGATTAATGGCTTGATTACAAGTACTCCTCTGGGGAGGAGTGGTGGTGGTTTGAGTTAGTCTTCAGTGTGCATTTGTGAGAAGTACACACAAATGGCACACCTGACGTTCCTTTGTTTTGAGAGCTCCGTTTTGTTCCGGCAATACTTCTCAGCCTCAACACATGAAGCTGCCTTTGTTGCACGCATCTTACATTTTGCACTGCCAGTTACAGCAGGTGGGCTGGCGTGGCACTTTGGCAGCAGTGCTGTGTGGGGAAGAGCTGCAGGGAAACGCATGGAGTCGGTTCTGCTCCTGATCCTACTCCTTCCTCTCCTGAAGGTCTCTGAGCCGTTCCCAAAGGCTGCAGGGCATTGTGAGCCTGGCAAGCAGAGCTGGAATTCAGCTTCCACACTTCACCCTGCGCTGAGCAGCCTCTATCCATGCTATGGGAACCAGCAGAGCCTCAGGGGCTTAACCAGTGCCTTAACTCAGAAAGCTTTAAGGGAGATAGTGGAGTAATATTCTGCCTTGCATCCATTAGTGGTACCTGCTGCTTTTCTGTGTATGGCACAAAAACATGCGCTGTAATAAGCATGCATTTGGATTTAAACAAAGCCAACCAGTGCCCCATCCATGCTGAAGTTGAATCCCACCTCCTTTGTGTCAGCTCTCTCCACACACAGATAGGTTCCTTTGCCCCTGGATTGGGTTCTGCCAGCCGAGGGCTTCCACCTTTTAATTGCTCCCCTAAACTGACTTTTTTTCAGCCTGTGAAATTTATTGGTGGTGAAAAATAGTCTTCAAAGTGTTAGGTGTCCCGTGTGTTTGGATCGAGTTTGCTGCTTGGTATTGAAGGCTGGGAGGATCGGTTTGGTTTGGTTTGCTTTGGTTTTAGTGGCAATTTGTGACAGCTTAACAATCTTTTGCATTTCAGACCTTTAAAACAAATTTCCCTATTTTTAAATTATGTTCTCCATCCTGGATTGGAGGATGAGGTGATGTTGAGGATTGTGGCTGGCATTATCCCTTTGCCATCTCGTGGGCTCTTCGTTCTGCTGGTGTGTGTCAGTGTGCTGCAAAGGGCCAGACCTTTGTTCTGCAGGTGATGCATCATTACACATCAGTCCCATAAGATCACAAGTGTGACTGGACTTCATCTAAATTCACATTTTCTCAAAATACGTCTCAGGTTGCAGGGGAATATTCAGATATGTAACAAAAATTTCATTAATAACTTTGCATGCAATCCAGATTTATATGACCTTTTTTTTTCTTTTTCCTGCCTTTTCCCCAAATCCCTCTTGTTTACAGCTTCCAGCTGATCTTACCAAGATGCATCTTACAGACAATCCTCACCCTCAGGTGACTCACGTCCCTTCAAGCCAGTCTGGGTGCAGCATTGCCAGCGATTCTGGGAGCAGCAGCCTGTCTGATATCTATCAGGTAGAATTGCATTTGTTTCTTAGTTCTCTTTTTCCCCACCCCCCTCCCAGCTGGAAATTGCATTTTGCCTTTCCTAATTGCTCTGGCAGCATTATGTGCTGCTGTAATGCCGACTGGTTATCAGAAAGCATGAGGTCAGACGTTCACCCCACACAGTTGTTTGTTATATTTGCTGCCAGAATTTGGGCGGAAGTCCATCAGGAGCTGTTGCACAGACCTGGTGGGGACATTTCTGCACTGACATCTGCATGCTCTTCTGATGGCACTTCCTTTCTGGTTTTTCCTTGGCACACATTCCATTAGCAGTGAGGTAGGTGACAGTGAGCAGATGAAGGTGGTAGTGACAGTATGCGTGCAGGTGAGCTTGGCTTCACTGCAGTTTCATTCAGTACTTGCTAAACACAGCTTATATTGATAAAGAATAAAATATAATGAGCGGAGTTGCAGTACAGAATGCAACAAAATAAATGCAGCAAGTTCTTATACCATGTAGTGTCCTACAAAAGGAGCTTGGTTCTGGTTTATTTCTTGCTTTATCATTTGAAGGGAAGACTCAGAGTTTGGTTTTGATGTGTTTCTTTTCCCCCAGTCTTGTTAACATTAAGAACATCTTGTTCCTGTTCTATTTTCTCTGGAAAAAGAGGAATTGCTTATAGATTGCGTGACACCAAAGCAGTGGCAGTTTATCACTGCCTCCCCTTCCTAATGCTTCTGCAAACCCGGTGCTGCTTCCCACCTCAACAGCTCCCTCCTTGCTTTTCACCTCTCTGTGTACCAGCACGTGTGCTGTTGCTTTTAGAAGACACGTGGTGATTTATGTGCTGAATTATGGAGCAGATTCCATGAAACCCTTCTGCCTGTCGGGTTCCTTCCTTGGTTATTTGCATTCGTTGCTCACTGCAGATGTCCTGTTCTGCAAACAAAAGCATGGTAATAAACATGCTCTCTGCACCGACTGACTGTGCAAATTCCAGTGTTTCTTGTTGGGAATAGAAGTTGAGGAACATCGAGAGATAACTTATTAAGTGCATTATCTGTAAACGAAGCAGAGCGGCTGCCTCGTGCCAAATTGCAGAGCTGGGTTCATGGGTGCACTTCTGATGGAGGGAGCAGTTTGTTTGTCTCAGAAATGGCACGACTTCATCACTTCCGAGTTCAGATCTGCTTACATTACCAACTAAATAGGAACTGTGGAGTGTTCTGTAGGTGTAGCTGGAATGTAGATACCTGTTCCCCTCTCCTGGAGACTGTCTGGGTGCAGTGTAATAAAGACAGACTGATGGCATATCTTATTTACAGCAAAGTATTGCAAGTTAACTTCAAAGATAAGACATTCAAAGAATGTGTTTGTCCCATTCAATCTATTATTTTACTTCTTTCCATTTGCTCTCTACCAACCAGCTCAGAATTACTTTGATTGTTAATAGCTCTTTCCAAATGCACCCTGCATTCCTAGCAGCAGTGTTGAAAGATTTTGTTCTCCACATTGGTTTTTGTTTTTTTTTTTTCCCCCTTTTCTCCCTGTGGAATTAATTCTCCCAGCTCAAAAAATAATTAGCTGCAGTCACCAGAAGGAGCGTGGCTGTGGTACCTGGGCAGCTCACACACTCAGGCTGATGGCACTTTTGCTGGCCTGTCTACCTGAGCCGTTTGGAAGGATTATGCTAAGTGGAAAGCACTTCAAATGTATTATGGATGAAGCAAATATCGTTCCAGTAAGGAGGGTAGACTCTTATCATCTGTGGTTAAATGCCTTTGAAATGTTGCATTCCTGCTCTTAAGAAAATGCCAAAAGAGCGTGATGGTTAAACAAATAAAAATTACATAAATAAAATAAATGAAGGAGTAGCATTTTAATCTGCACTGCAACACTCAAACGGTGGTGAAATATATTTATGTCCCTGAAGGAATTACGAATTTATTCATATTAAAATAGGCTTTTCATGAAGCATTTGGAAAACGCTGTCTTTGCTTTTGCCGTCAGTTTCATCTCTGTTGCGTGCCAAACTCTCCAGGACTATCATTACTGTCAAAGGAAGACTATTTCTAAATAATTTTTATTAATGTAGCCTTGAAATGACCTTTTGAATGAATGATATCATAACATTAATTTTTAGTGTGTAGCGCCACTATAATTCCAGAGCAGGAAACGGATTAGAATGATAGAAACAAAGGGTGAAACTTTTTTTTTATTAAGATTTGGAAAGGGTTTTGGTTTATCTGCGTACACTTCATTCATCGACAGCGTTGAAATGAGTTTTCACTTCTTCCAGCTGCTTCTCAGAGCAGGATGTTAACCAGGAAATGAGCACAGGAGCTGAAGGTGAGCTCAGCAGAAACGAGCCCTGCTTGCAGCAGGGCTGCAAACACATTGCATTGAAGCCAGAGCTGCTGAGGAGAATACATTTATGATGATATTTTCTCCCTTCACACCTTCATTTATATATATTTGAAAGCTTTTTCCTACTTTTTTTTTTTTTTTTTTTTTTAATGGCGTATTTAATTTATGTGTTTGTTTTTCTTCAGCCTCTGACAGCTCTTTCAGAGCTCGGATGCTCAGGCTGTTAGGAGAAGCTGTGTGGTTATGTATATAAGTCGAAATGAGGGATTATAACTTCTGCAAACAGCCCCTTGGCCTTGTAATAGGTATCCTCAGGGAAAAGCTGTTCTGCAGGTATTACATTGAGCAAACATTTCCGTTTGCTTTTTCATGGGGCCAGCAAGGGTACCACAGGCAATCCAGGCTGTATGTCCAGGCCTGGGTGGGCATGGTCTCACTTTGACTGCAATGGAGTTGTTGCCTTTATCAGTGACTTCCAATGCTCTTCTTTTCCCAAGTGACAAATTCCTATCTATTTTTCCTTAGTTCTGCCAGTGGTCTGCTCAGGGTTTTTTTTGTCTTTTGTTTTTTTTTTTGCCATCACTCATTTGTCACTTCTGCAGCACGTGTTATTTGTGGGCAGCAGTGTTATCGCCCAGCAATGGTTCCATCTGTGGTTAAGGATTTTAAGTTAAGATGGATTATCTATAAAATATGCATCAGGGTTTAGGGTTTTACTAAGGACTTTTCTGTCAATTCTGAAGCCTTGGACAGCTTTCCCCTGAAAGAACTGACATGAAGGAAAGTAAAAACCCCGTGTTCTTAATAGCAGGTTGCACCAGGAGCCATGAGCACTAAAATTACCTGCCATGCAGAGTTATTACAGAACAGAGAGTCCTTCACATGAATACGTGTCAATATCACCAAAGTTATGAGGGCTCCTTGGCTTCCAGAGCCAGTGCTTAGACATCTCTAGGATCAAGCTTTGCCAAACATAGTCTTGTTGTCCCCTTAAAGAAGTTAACAGGAGATATATAAAGTAGAAATGGTGTGATTTTAGAATAGCAAGCAAGGGTTTTGACAGTGAGCTGATGCTCAGCGTCCTGTGCTGTGTGTGCTGCTGGGGCTGCTCCAATGGATTGGCAGTCGGTATTTTTACCCTGTAGACCCAATTGTGAACAACCATATCTGTGCCAAGTTTGAGGACTGGAGCTTCTGGTTTATTTGTTGTAAATTAATAAATCATAAGTTTTCTCTTAAGAATGTAGCTTGATTGAATTGTAATTTATTTACCAGGCAAAGGGAAGATTGGTTAATTGTTCTGTGCAGGCTGTACAATGCACGTTTTAAATATCACCTTCCTGTAGAACGTGTATCCTCCATTTTGTTACCTTAGCTTAATGTTACAGAAGTGGGAATTAGCACTGTACTCAGTTTTACTCCGCCTGGGAACTTGAATATGAATTGTGGCTGTTCAGATGAAGAGATGCTGGAAAGGTCTTAGAATGAAATGCAGCACTGAGCATGTGCTGCCAAGGCTCTCCAAGCACAATTTGCACTTCGGCTTAATTCCAAAACTGTTAATGCGTGAGCTCCATCAGCCAGCAAAGTGATGTAATAAAAACAGATTTAACCCTATGTTTTGCCACCCTGCTCTGTAGGAAATGTTTGTTAAGTTACGTCAGCCTTCTTTTTAATTAGGTTTGGTGGATAATGGTAACAAAGAAGACAAATCCAGAGACCTCAGAAATATACCTGACCGGTGTTTGTCAGCCTGGTGCAGAGGGCAGTGCTGCTCCATCTGCCCGAGGTCGGGTTTGCATTGGCAGCCCTGTGAGGAGCGCGGGGGCAGCGCTTTGCTGATCAAATCAACGCTGGCTTCAGTGATGCAACTCAGACTTCCAAACAGCAGTGCTTCAGCATCGTGCTGCTTATGTCATGTCTGGAGCTTCAAGCAGGAGACAGGAGACAGGATTAGTAACCGTCACTGAGTTATTGATAAATATTTCTCACTTCAGAAGAGCAAAGAGCGTTCCGTCTCCTTTTTAATATCCTGCCATCAAACGTTGGGTTGCACCCAATGGAGCAGAGGCATCTAACAGCTCTGCTTTGTGCTGTAGTCGTTAGCTCATCGCTGGCTCTCCAGCCGTCCTCATGAAGTGTCTGGGAGTGAAATGTTGTAGGCACATCAGGGAATTGGTGTTAATGAACAATATTCTAATTGACTGTGGGGGAAGGTTCCACTGGGGCTCTTCTGATGGTTGTAAAAATGAATGACAATAAAGGAGATGGGCATAGAAGCTCATAGTTTTACCATCTTCTCAAATGTGTGCCTCTGAAAATGTACCAAAATGGAATATGTGTGTTCAGCATACATCGTGCACCAATGGCACTTTACAAAACGAAATCATAGAAATTAATGTTTAAACAATTTGTTTAAACTCCCCAACAAGTGGGAGTTTGTTTACAGAGGATTTTTACAATAGGTGTCCATTGATCAGTTGCATGCTGCCTTAAATTAAGACAAAACGATTGAGGAGGTATTTTGTGGAAACTGGAAGTTTGGAACCGCTTGGTTTTGTTTCTTTTTTCTTGCCTTCCATCTGTTTGGAAAGTTATTTTCATTCCATTACATCATTTAAACTTTACACGAGAAAATATTGCAAACAGTTCTTGTGTGATGCTGCTTTTTGGTGCCAGCATTTCTTTATCTTAAACTGTGGCCTCGTGTGTGTCTGCTCAGTTTGATGTCTATATTGCCATCTATTGATGACAGCAGAAGTGTGTCTACAGACACTGGGTGACTACTGTTGTTACTGGGTTATATTACTACTTGGGTAATGTTAAGTCTTAAATTGTGAGAAGCCATTTGTTCACATGAATTCACAAGGCACTAAGTGCTATAAGGAAGTGAGAGTTGGCCAGCAGAGACAGGAGTAGTCATCCTCATCTCTTTGTTTCAGAGGTGTATTCTCCAGCTGGCATATTGATCATACACTACAAACCATTGCACAGTACTGGAATTAAAAGTGAGATCAGATCCCTTTAATTGCATTCACTCAGCTGGGATTATTGTCCCTCGATGTCACAAGTTGGTGTCAGTGGGCTTGTATGGCCTGCAGATCGTTGGGAGTGTCGTTAGGAAAGAAGGAGAGCACGTGCCCAGTACACAATTGAAAACTTGTGATCACAATTTGCTAGCATGGTGTTGCTTTATGCCACAGGTATGTATTTATACTGCCTACTTTCTAGTTTAAATTGTTGGTCGTAGAATTTTTTTGTATTATTAGCTCTACTAAGATAAGACCGAAATTAATTGAATGGAATCATTGAAGTCTTTATCTGATGGATGTCTTCTCTGTAGGCTACAGAAAGTGAGATGGGAGATGTTGATTTAACAGGTCTTCCAGAAGCACCTGTAGACTCTGAAGATGAAGAAGAAGAGGAAGATGAAGATATTGACAGAACTTCAGATCCACTTCTAGGGCGAGATGTTGTACGAGAGTGCCTTGAGAAAGAGCCTGCAGATAAAACTGATGATGATATTGGTGAGGAGAAAAGAAGTAGATCCTTGTATAAACCTGTATCGTGTAACTTCAGTCAGAGAGTAAACTGTTAACTTAATATTAAACGTATATCATCATCATTATGAATGATGCCTTCCAGAGATCACTTTGCTCTAGGGATGCTGTTAATTAAATGATTTTTCTTCTATCTGGAAGAGTATTTGTTCTGAGAATGCAAGTATATTTTGAAAAAACAGTCTTTGAAACGTACTATGTGTTAAGTGTTACAATCACTGTATCTGTTGATAGGAGGGTAACGTGGTAATTTTGACTGCCTGTGACTGTTGAATTAATTAGTTATGGAACGTTGAAGAGAACATGCTGGTGCTGCAGTGTAGATAAGCTTAATCGTGAACTGCAAAATATTTGAAAGGAAAATAAATTATTGCAGTGCCTAACTGGAAACTGGCGTTAGTTTAATGGCAAAATTTAGGTTCTACTACACTTCTGATTACTTCTCTGAACTCTGAAAAGTGTTTTGTGCTCTTGATAAGCTTATAATTACTGTACAGTGAGGGTATTTTTATTTCTTCTAAATGTTTGAAGCTGAAGTGCTTTTACACTTAGCTAGATTGCTGCCTTAAGAGTCAATCAGGGCATGATCAGGACTGCAGAGCCAAGCTTTTTTCCCCAAGTTTTGATGACAAAACGCATACTGGGCTCATTTAGCTGCAGGCACTAACAAGGACTGCAACACCACTGAGCGATTCCTTCCGTGAATTAATCTGAGCTTTAATATACCTGTGGGAGGGCATGATATCTAAGGAACCCCTGGGCCTTGCAGTCTTCATACCAATGTTTCCTTTTGTCTAACAGAGCAATTATTGGAATTTATGCATCAACTCCCTGCCTTCGCAAACATGACGATGTCTGTAAGAAGAGAACTTTGCTCAGTGATGATATTTGAAGTAGTGGAGCAAGCGGGGGCCATCATACTTGAAGATGGCCAGGAAGTAAGTAACCATCTGCAACGCAGTTGAAGCACCATGGGCAGAAGGCTGCAGGTGGTGCAGGGCTGGGGATTGTTCTCTGCAGCTCTCCCACTCCTGAAAGCTAAAGAATTCCTCATCTCTTATCATGACCCACTTCCAAAATCCCTAAACCTTAATCCGTCTATGTGTTAGATTCTGCCTGTGTGCTCTTGACTTCCTTGTTCAGGACTTCACTGTGGTTGAGTATAGAAAAAAAAATAAATAAATAAAAACAGCATTCAGTAGTTTATGCTGTGGATTACTATAAGTGCTAAAATCTAAGAGTTTATTTTGGAGTTTACTTGTACAGAAGAATACATAATTTCCATTGGTCAAATAGCTCTCTTCTTTCAATGTAAGGATCTCCATAATCATGGAGATGGATCCTTGAATAGCAGTGTAGGTAGCATAACCTAAATATCTACGTTGGAAGCAGTTGCCAGTTAGGCAGTGGTTGGATTCCCAGCACTGGTGCTCTGAATTCTTACCTGCAGCCTCTCCCTGTCCTTCGATCCAGAGATCTGGAATGGCTGGATCCCATCAATGCTCTGTGGGTGCTGAACGTGCTCTTGTTTCCAGTAGTGACCAAGTGGGGGTAGAGCCCTCATGCTCGTTAAATAGTATAAATATACTGTAGCAATTAGCACGCTGATTAAAAAGCAATCTATTCATCAGCATTGCTCCCTACTGAATTAGTACTGAAATGAATGAAGAATGCTGAAAAGCATTCTTGTTTCAGTCAGCTTTATTGCTTGCTTTACAGTACACATTTCTGGTGAATTACATGTTGCAAAACTGTGGTGGCAACAAACTGGAGACTGCAAGAATAAAGCTTTCTGAGATACGAGTGCTGGGACAGCTTATACAATTTTTTGAATGATCTTCACTTTTAAAATTTGTTTTTCACTCCCTCTAGCTCGATTCTTGGTACGTCATTTTAAATGGCACAGTAGAAATCAGCTATCCTGATGGGAAGAGCGAGAGCCTCTGTATGGGAAATAGTTTTGGGATTACTCCCTCTTTGGACAAACAGTACATGAATGGAGTGGTCAGAACCAAAGTAGACGACTGTCAGGTAAGATCACAATTCTGCACATCTAGCTCACATTTCTGAACATCCAGTGAAAGACAGCAGACTTCTTTCATCTTAAGGCGTGATCGTTATTCCAGGAGCAGAAGAAAGGAGGTTGGTATTGGATGGGCCAGGGGCTCTGCTTGTGTCAGGTTAGTTGTACACTGAGTAGCAGAGATTTATTTTACATTGCTGTTGTGTGAGAAACAGGAACTTTTGCATTCTGTTGAAACGTAGCCTTAGTTCACCCTAGTTGTGCTATGTATGCAATTGATGTGCAGTAAGAACAGATAAACAGACAGTAGCCGTATCCAGCTTTTGCAGTGTTTGTTCTCTGTATGATTATCATTATGTTTTGGAGACATAACGTGCTGATCAGTGTTATTTTCCTCTATTTATAACTTTCTGGGCAGAACAGAAGGGCTAATAACAAGTACTGTGCTATGGTGGTTGTGTCAAAGCAGCTCAGAGATGGGGAGTGAGGATACATTCACGTGTTGAGTATTTATTAATGATCACATGTTGTCTGGGACAGTTTGTGTGTATAGCCCAGCAAGACTACTGGAGAATTCTGAACCATGTGGAAAAAAACACTCATAAAGTTGAGGAAGAAGGAGAAATTGTTATGGTAAAGGAACACAGGGAGCTGGATCGCAGTGGAACCAGAAAAGGACACATTGTTATCAAGGTGGATTTCTTCCCATTCTTTCTATTAGTCTATTAAACCTTTAATAATTAAACCTTTATTCTTTTTGGTTTAAATCTGGAACTCATGTTCAGTTTTGTCTGTCTCACTTCAAAAATTTAATTCTAAGGAACTTATATTGCTATGCAAATCTACTTCCATATGTCTTTTAATCAATGTAGACCTTTGGGGTTTGTGCTGACAGCACTCCTTGTGTAGTGGTTTGGCTTCTGTAGTCTGAAAGAAGAACTTCAACTGTTCGTAATAAACAAAATGATGAGATGTTGCAGATTGTTCTGGCCAGTTACAAGCTGCAGAATGGTCTGGGAGGAACATGAGGACTTGATTTAAATATAGTAGTGCTTTTTTTTTCCTTGAGTTTTCCAAAACTGAAGCTTGGAACACTCTCTGAGAGAGGTACTGGCAGGAGATATCAGCTGTATTTGCATTCCATTTTTAAGGCAACACCTGAGCGGCTCATCATGCACTTGATAGAAGAACATTCTATTGTGGATCCAACTTACATCGAAGATTTCCTGTTAACATACCGAACGTTTCTAACCAGCCCCTTGGAAGTTGGGAATAAACTCCTGGAGTGGTTCACAGTGGACAGCCTCAGGGATAAGGTGGGTTCCAGGCTGTCACACACATGCATGATGTTCTCTGCAACGTGTCACTGCTTCTCTTCTGCAGGATGATTGCCTATATAATTTTAAGATTTAAACGCCTTTTTGTTTTTTTATCAGCAGCTTGGGGGATGTTTTTGTTCATGGTTTCTTGGATGTATCACCTTCGTTCTCACATCAGCCTTGTGTTCACCTTCTAGAATTGTTCTTCGTAAAGTTTTTCAGTGTTTTGAACTATCTTCTTAGAGCAGCTTACTGTGAAGCCTCTACTCAAAGTCGACTGTGCTGCTGATAATAGCTCTTCTGTGAATAGAACCATGTTCAACTCTGTGTAACTGCATGCGACACGTATGGAAAATTTACATGGTTTGGAACTTGTACTCATATCCAGTTTGTTGAAAATGGTGGCAGTAAAATTCTTGGCCACCAGTTTTATATGTTTGAGATGGAGCCGAAGGAAACTCAGCTATGGAAGCAAGGCAGGTTTTTGTGGAAGAAGTTGGCTGTGCTCCTTCACTATGGTTACTGCTGCTCCCTTTTTCCATGTACTCCTTCTGGCAACAACTGTTTTTTTGTTTTTTTTTTTAAGAAAATGAATGTAAAGAAGGAAAGTAAAAGAAAGAGATCTCAGCAAATAGAAGAAGAAGTTGTTATTTTTGGAAGAGAAACTGCCCTGGATTAGCATTTCTTAATAGTGGGGATGGATAAAATAGTAGTCAGATTGAATTTGTCATGAATGGCAGTAACTGTAGCACACGTAAATGCAACCCAAACAATTAGCTTCAAAACTTAGAAGCAAGTTTTTTATTGTAACATTGTACAGCTTCCTAGGAGAGGATGTAATTAGGAGGCTTTAAAAAGATGTGTTTTATGAAAGGCAAAAGGAAGAGAGAACTGAAGGTAGATGAGTGCACCACTAAGTACTGGGTGATGTAATCAGCCAGATACAGAGATGTCTGATACTCGTTTTTTTCATTCATCTCCACAAGGAAAGGAAATCAGGAGTTGATTTCAAGTGCAAATGGCTTCTGCTAAGGAATGCATGAATCTGTGATGTGTTATTCTGTCGTGTCCTTGTATTCTTTTTTTGCTTGTAGATTACAGCCTGTAGGAGAAAAAACATTTTGATGTATGCTTTCTTTTTTTTAGGTTACCAGAGTGGTTTTGCTGTGGGTGAACAACCATTTCAATGACTTTGAAGGTGATCCTGCTATGACTCGATTTCTGGAAGAATTTGAAAAGAATTTAGAAAATACGGTAGGAGTGAAAAAGGACAACTGTCACACTTCTAACATTGTGCATTTCCATTTTCCAGTGTCTGCAGGGGTTAACACATTGTAGTCCATAAGAAAGCACTGAAGAGGTGGCTTTTAACGTGGGTGTATTTGTTATAAAATATCTACTTAGGTACAAAGCTCTCATAAATAGTGCACGTGGCACTCATTTATGTGTCTTTGCATCCCTGCAGAAGGTTTATTAAGATCTGGATACGTAGAATCATAATTTCTCTTTCTGACACTTTTTTTTTTTTTTTTCTATACAACTTTTTTTCCCTTTCTACTAAAAGAAGCATCACACTCAGTTTCACGTCTCTTGTGTTACAGAAAATGAAAGGACATCTCAGATTGCTGAATATTGCTTGTGCTGCCAAGGCAAAATGGAGACAAATTACCTTGCAAAAGCCTTCTAGAGACTCCCCTCTCTTTTTTAGCCTTCTTGGAGGAAGTGACAAAGGTTTTGGTATCTTTGTTGAGACTGTGGAAATTGGCAGTAAAGCTGCAGAAGCTGGACTTAAGCGTGGTGATCAGGTAGGAAATGTAAAGCTAAGTTAATTTTAAACATCCGTCTCTTAATTAAAAAATTTGGTTTAGCCAACTGCATTGTTTCCAAGAAAAAGATCATACTGTTGACTGTTAGATAAGAGTGGGAAAAAAAAAAAAAGGAAAAAAATAATACTTTAAGTTTGTACGTTTAATATGTGTTCCTATTAAATAGTATTCAAAATATCTAAAGTATTTGGGTATTTCAAAAACAAAATGGGGAAAAGAAGCCAAATTGTGGCAAGTTTTGGTTGCTTTCGGTCACTTTCTTAGAGGAGATTTGGCTGGGTTGAAGCTGTCACATTGTTTTCTTGGGTTGATTCTCATTGGGTGTTCAGCATCCCAGTCTGGGGCTGGGGAGCCTCGGGGCCCTGCAGCTGAGCTGTGCTTTGGTTGTAATACCAGATCTGCAGCTGGTGATGCACCAGGTGCAGATTCTAAGTGTAAGAACGTTGTCCCAGAAGTTGAGTTTGGTTAAAGGAGTTGATGGGTAGGAATGGAGTTCCTGGCACGTTTACAGGATGGAACTTGAGTGGGGTAATCAAAACAGTTATTTTACAAAGAATGCTTTCATGGTACAACTACTGTAAAGATAGTGTGATAACTTCTGGCAAGTACTTAGCATGCTTGTATTGTTGCATTTACATTTGTAACTGTTGTAAAGTAACTCCATTATAAGCAGCTGTTCTAATAGTTCAATTTGCATTTCTCCTTAAAGATAATGGAAGTAAATGGACAGAACTTTGAGAATATTACCTTTGCAAAAGCTCTCGAAATCTTAAGGAACAATACTCATCTCTCCATTACTGTAAAAACAAACATTTTTGGTGAGTAGACTTCAAAAGTGATGTATTTCCGTGTGTGTGCACAAAACCTCCAGTCTCTCTGGCTCTAGAACTTGCTCCAGGAGTGAAAGATCACGGAGGAGTCCCCTCGTTGTGCCTCCATTTGCTCAGTGATCAGCCACGTGCTGCTCATTGGGAGGCACTGAGCCAGCATAGCCAGCGCTCTGCTCCCTGAGAAATCCTCCAACGGCTGCTTAAGCAGCTTTAGTGTCCCTGCATGCGATATGGCTGACACAGAGCCAAAGGAGCTGGGCCAAAATATTTTGCCAAGAAACAGCAAAAATGTCAAACTGGGTTTTCATAAAACTTTTTATGATGGCAGTAAGAACAATAGGATAAATGGCCTTTATATCTCAAATCGATAAGGGAATATAAAAAGTGGTATAGTATATAAATGTTAGCTTTTAATTGTCAGTGTGAATATAAACACATAAATACCTCCTTAAACACTCATTCAAACCATCTGTTCTCTTTCCATAATCCTGTTCAGGAAACAGAATAACCATAGCTACAGAAAGAACAAGGCTGTACATACAGATAGATCCTTCCTCTGTAGTGGGATCTGAGAGCTCATGGTGGTTCCCCTCTAATATTTCCTCCTGCTGCTTACCTGCCTGTGTTCCCCATGAGTTTTCTTTTCAGTTAGGATTTTCTATTTATCACTATGCAGGTAAAAAGTTTTAAGATCTTAGCTGTTATTTATTATCATAACTCTAATGCCATAGCATAGAACAACTGCAGTAATCGGTCGACTAGACTAATGAAATGGCATAAAATAAGGCGTTGCTGTAGCTGAGGCAGTGATGGTTACATACAGATGGATTCCAACCTCTTTTCCTGCAAGCTGATAAAATTTCAAGATGATTTCTCTGATATGTTTTAATGAATTCATGTCGTGTGAAGCTGTTTTGAACTGCAGTAGTTGTGATTCTGTCCTTTTAAGTGAGTGCTAAGCACCTGGTATTGGCAGTGGACAATCCCCATTCTTAGATTTGAGTTTATATGGTGAAGGATTGTAGCCAGAAATTGTGTCACATAATAGAAATATGCAGTTTGACTGTCAATATACATAAAGTCCCTCATGTCTTGTTTGTAAGGCCAAGAAATCAGCTCTGCACAGCACTGTGTTCTCTTGGTACCGTGTTTTCAACAGAAAGTACCACATTTCTGACATGAGTGACCTCAAAGATTTAAAAACAAAACACCCCACAACAAACAGAAAAACCCCCATGCATTGATAAACCGGTCTGAACAGTTTGACTTTACCTTTTATTTGTGGGGAGAAACAGAAATAATGAAGACTGTTTTTTTTTCCTTATATCTTTTGGGAGTGTCAGCAATTGACTGCCTTAGTTTGATAAATGCAGGAGGAGGTTTGATCCACTTTATGATTTAGTGAAGGAAAATGAAAGAAAAAAGAAAATTCTGAGCTGTCCTGAAGTTCTTCGGGATGCATCTGCACCGTTAGCAAAGATGCAGATGACAACAGTCATTAAATACATAGAGGAGATTGGTGTGAATGTAGAGGTTCCTTTTTATTGATCTGACTGCCTTTGTGAAGGCTGGAATATGTTCATTAAATCTGCTGAGGTTTGTGCTCATTCTGAAAGTAGCCAGGAGAGTCCAGCTGTGCAGAATGGGGCATCGTTTTTTGTTAAGCATTGGGGGTTACACTTTCTGCCAAGGAATTCCACAGCAAACCTTCAATGGGAAAAGACCTGCCCCCTTAGAATCAAGATTAAAATGTAATCTATAGGCTGGTTTGGCAGTGCATTACCTTTTTGTTTTGGATTCTGCTTTAATTTTTCTGCAGGTATGGGGGAAACCAAAGGTTTGAGGGGAAAGAAGAATGCAACACAAAGGTTTAGGTGTGCAAAGGTAAATCACAATGGTTGTGTCTTCCCTTTCAGTGTTTAAGGAGCTGCTCTGCAGGATAGGGCAAGAGAAGAATGGAATTCCACATATTCCGAAAATTGCAGAAAAGAAAAACAACCGTTATTCCATCCCAGATATGCCTGGAGATGTGGAACAGATGTTCCCTCGTGAAAAAGGAAACAAGAAATTGAAAGCAAACACGGTATCTGGTGGGAGAAACAGAATCAGGAAAATTTTAGACAAGACTCGATTCAGCATCTTGCCTCCAAAACTCTTCAGGTGTGTTGGGCTCTCATTGAACAGCAGTTGTTTCTTATTGAAGCTGCTTTGTATCTTCAGATGCATCCATGCTGCTTTTTTTGTTGTTGTTGTTACTGTTTTTATTTCTTTTAAAATGCAGTAAATCTGAATCATAGAATCACAGAATGGCCTGGGTTGCAAAGGAGCACAGTGCTCATCCAGTTCCAACCCCCTGCTGTGTGCAGGTCACCAACCAGCAGCCCAGGCTGCCCAGAGCCACATCCAGCCTGGCCTTGGATGCCTGCAGGGATGGGGCATCCACAGCCTCCTTGGGCAACCTGTTCCAGTGCCTCACCACCCTCTGGCTGAAAAACTTCCTCCTAGTATCCAACCTAAACCTCCCCTGTCTCGGTTTAAGACCATTCCCCCTGGTCCTATCACTATCCACCATCATAAACAGTCATTCCCACTCCTGTTTGTATGCTCCCTTCAAATATTGGAAGGCCACAATGAGGCCTGAACTGAAGAACAAAACCAGAATATTTTTGCTGTCCCAGCGAACACTTTCAAACATACATTCCCTTTGTCTCTGTTCTTAGAGCTTGCCTATAGCATTTAATTAAAACATCTGACTGCTGTTATTTTTCCCAAGATTCACTCATCCCAAGATGATCGTGCAGAACTTAACGCACCTGATTGAAACCAATTTGTTTTGCAGTGATGGCAGCGTGAGCCAATCGCAGGACGACAGCATCGTTGGGACGCGGCAGTGCCGGCACAGCCTGGCCATCATGCCTATTCCTGGGACCCTGTCATCCAGCAGCCCCGACCTGCTACAGCCTACAACGAGCATTCTGGATTTCTCTAATCCTTCAGGTAAACAAGAGCATGAGCTTGGTAATTACAAGGCAGTTGGTTTTGGGGGGAGAACTACGCCTTCTGCCAGCTTCAAACACACTGAGTGCAGTTATCTCTTTCTCTTGTGACCCTAGCAGGTCCAAACTAGCAATTCACTGAAAACACAGACAGCCCAAACCTCTTTTTTGTAGTGTGAGACCTGTTTTCCCTTAAATAAATAAATAAACGAATACATTTTCCCACCCATAAATGTCTTTGATTTACCAGAGCTCTGGTGGAAGCAGGTTGTCGTCCTCTGCACCTGCCTTGTGTTGTCATCTCTTCCCAGTGCCAATACTTCTGTGACTTGACTTCTCCATCCACCATCTTTTAGTATATATTTCAAACAGTACTGTGGATGGAATTAGACAGCTTTGGTACCAACATAATTACATTATTTTTTATATAATGTCTTGAAGACTTTAAGGTCATTCAGTTATATGTCTGAAAAACTGAAAAGTGTTTTGAGGTTTGCAATCTGGGCTTCCATTGCTGGTACTGAAGGAACACAGTAGATAGGTTGGCTGCAGGAGGTATTTGCTGTTACATGCAGCTGCCTGTAAACATGTCAAGTCAGAATCATGTTCCCCTATTTCAGATGTGAGTTCTGTGCATAATTATATATTCTGTGAAGTGCCTTCTGGCTACAGCTTATGTTTATGTAAACTTGCAGTTTTCCCCTTTAAAAGGAACAAATGTATCCTATCAAATGCATAAATATCCGTAGCAAATAAGTTCCTTTTCTTTCTGGAGACCCAGTTTCTTACTGTCTGCATGTGAGAGGGGAGAGCTACTCACATGTTCTCTAAGAATAATCTCCTACTGTACAAGTTGCTGCATAGTATGAGCAGTAGATTACTGGTCCTTCACAAATTTACTATAACAACTATGCAATTATTTTTGAATGCTAGAGAACACCAAAATATTTCTGACCATCCAGTACATGCTCTTTAAGTTTTGTAAACATCTACATCTTGATTTGATGTTGACACGGTGTTTCTCTTTTTTCCTGCCCGCAGCTGTTGGGTTTTACTGTAAGTATCCCGATGTACAGCATCCTGAAGGCCTTAATATTGCATGGCTTGCCTGATAACACATTGCACTGGTGTAGTTATACTGTCTGGGCAGTAGTATGGGTAGTCATGAATCCTGTGAGCTTCCCTTTAATAAAAGTCCATAGGAGCTCCTTCTGAGCACTGCAGAGTGCTGGGCTGAAGCAGAGAATGCCTCATTTAATTCCCATTTCTGCCACTGATATGCTGAAAGACATATCAGGCAGGCTGCTTCGCTTCTCTGGGACCTTGCTTTAAACAAATGTAATTGCATCCCTGTTATGGAAACTGGATGATAATGCATTTTGAGATTGGGTTTGTTCTGCTTTTAAACTCTGTCTAACTAAAATTTGTGCATGCAAAGTGGAAATGCATCCTGTTCAGTCAGAACTTGAATCGTGTGTAGGAAAGTACTTTTTACTAATATTTACCTGCTTAAAAGAAAAGGCGATGGGATGGATACGTGCTTGTTTCCATCACCTGCTACTTACAAGTCACATCGTGTTCTGGTTGCATGGCATTCCTTTTCTTCCAAACTAGACTTCAGTTTGGGCTTTAAACTTGAGTGTGTTCTGATTTTTAGGTATGCTAATAACACGGTATAGATGTTTTGGCTCTTGTGTTAATCTGTGATGATTTTAATGAGTGCAGACATTTCCCAAATAATTCCCTTGGGCAGGGGATGCCCTGCCTGGCCAGCCCCTGTCTGTGGATGTGGCTCTTACCACTGAGATTATTAAAGGCTGGGCAAGTAACAGAGAGGAGGAGGCACCTCTGCAATAGCCCTGGGCATCTCTGCTGTGGGGCTTACAATTGCCTCAGACTTTTTTTTTTTTTGCCAGTCAGAGATATTTTGAGAATCTGTAATAACTGTAATGGAGAGAATCATTTCCAAGCGTCAAGTTATAAACTAAACATGTATTTCTTTAAATAGTTGTTTCATGTGATAGTCTGCACCAGATAAAACTGTTCTCCGACACGTTTATAATTCCTAAAATATGTTTTAAATAGGTGCACTAGCAAAAGGATTAGCTGCTGGCAGCAGCTGAGTCCCTTCAGGTTGAGAGAGGGAGTGTAAAAGTGTGCAGCTAGTTCACAGATGCAGCCAGGTCTCCCCTCTCATCTGCATTCTCCTGCCCACGGTGCATGCACCTCTCTGGGAGGAGCACCTTGGCACTCAACTCTGATCACAGGAAAAAAGCCAAAAAGGTGCAATGCTTGCAAGGATTTTGATGTACGCTGAGAAGGGCCGTGTACAGGACAGTCATTGGATATGTAGATGTCTCGTGCTTTGTGTTTGTGGGATAACACAGAAGTTAATTCAGTTGTGGAAATGCAGAGAGGTGGAAGACTCCTCTTTTTTCCATTCAAAGATTGAATATTTGAATGGACATCTACCAAACAGAAAACGCAGAAAATGACCTCTTGTCTTTTCACATCAAAAGTAGCTTCCTACTTTAAAGCTGTTCTTCTGTTATTTCAGATATTCCAGACCAAGTAATAAGAGTTTTCAAAGCAGACCAGCAGAGCTGTTACATCATCATCAGCAAGGACACCACTGCCAAGGAGGTGGTGAGTCACGCCGTCAGTGAGTTCAACCTGACCGGAGCCCCGGACACGTACTCCCTGTGCGAGGTGTCCGTCAGCCCCGAGGGGGTCATCAAGCAGCGCCGCCTTCCTGATCAGTTCTCAAAGCTGGCCGACAGGATTCAGCTCAATGGGAGGTAGTGCAGCCCTGTTTGGGGTTCGGTTGGGATTTGTTAGCATGTTAGGGTTGAAGCATCTGAAAGAATGTGGGGAGTGATGTTTTAATGAAAACAGACGGGTGTCTGTTGGAAGAGTAAGCAAGTAAATGTCAGTAACGCTCTCCTCTTTCCTTCTCTCCCTGTTTTACCTTCCTTTTCCTTAAGCAAAAACATCCTCCCTGACTTTACAGCAAGCTCTCTTTATGAGAGCTAAATAACATATAGTGGCTTTCACTTAAAAAGAAAAACTCGTATTTCGTCTGACGCTTTCCATATGTACTTCAGGATTAAAGTATGCAATTAACTTTTGCCAGTGATGTCATGTTGCAATGAACTGATACTAACCTGAGATAAATTCTTCCATTTTTATGTAAACTGTTACAAATGTTTTCTGACATGTAAAGTGCTTTGGCTCTATCTGATGACCTGGTCTGTGCCAGAAAGAAGTTTATTAAGTAAAAACTTCTTTAGTCTTCTCTGCTGAGCAACAGAGAGAATTTATGAGAAATAAACTTCTATATATCTGAAAACGAACTGCTTTGGAGCATGGAAGTTAATTTTCCAGATACCTTTTCATTTCCTGAATACTATGAACTTCATGTAAATGTTAATATGCCACACTGTATTTACATAAGAAACCATGCTTAATTTGTTTAAGAAATAGAGAAATGCATAAATGAGAGATTTCTCAAGACTAATGTGCATTTAAAGTGTTATTTCTCTGCTAAATTTACAAATGGAAAAGTGACCTTTTTTTAAAGATGAAAGCTGCAGCATGTTACTGAGTACAGTACAGAAAACATTAGCAAAGAGGTAGCCTGAAACAGCTTTGAAATGCTGAAGGATGAGGTACATAATGTACGAAGGTGTGCTGTCCCTGCCTCTCTCTTTGCCTCTTATTCTCGATTGTCACCAACAAGGTGGAAATGCTCTCCTCCAAACACCCCTATGGTGTCAGTCATGTCTGCATTGCTTGGCTGTGGTTCAGTGTTTTTGTTCTCACGCACCCTCTGAAGAGCATCTCTAACACTCTGTCACAACTCGATTGTTCTTAGGTATTATTTGAAAAACAACATGGAGACGGAAACCTTATGCTCAGATGAGGATGCTCAAGAGCTGCTGAGAGAGAGCCAGATTTCCCTCCTACAGCTGAGCACCATTGAGGTGGCCACTCAGCTTTCCATGAGAGACTTCGAGTTATTTCGTAACATTGAGCCTACAGAGTACATCGATGACCTTTATAAGCTGGACTCCAAAACAGGAAATGCACACTTGAAGCAGTTTGAGGATGTCATAAATCAAGAGACCTTCTGGGTTGCCATGGAGATTTTAGCAGAGCCCAACCAACTCAAAAGGATGAAGATTATTAAGCATTTTATTAAAATTGCCCTCCACTGTCGAGAGTGCAAGAACTTCAATTCCATGTTTGCGGTTATAAGGTAAAGCACTTCCCCTTTGTCAGATGCGATTTGTGGTGTCACGGGCAGCTCTGTTAATGTGAACTGAAAAGAAGGCACATCTTCACAGATTGCCAGTGGTGTGGGGTAGTGTCGAGGGAAGTGCCAGGCTTTTCAAAATGCCAGGGTGGACCGCTGTCACTGCGCTCTGTGCCTCCCTTGCCCTCAGAAGCTCAGTCTCCGTGTGTGACTGTCTCCTCTTTAACCATTAGCTAGCAGGGAAAGAGAAGATTTGGACAAGAGCACCATTTGACTGATGAAGTCCAGAAACGTGCCTGAAAGTTGCTGCCATTTTCTGTGATTCTAGCACCCAGTTTCCCTTTTTTCAGTCAGTGTTACTTTTTCAGGGTGCATTGAGTCATATCTGCAGTGATGAGATTACTTTCTTTCTTTCATTGTAAGGACTTCCTCAAATCAGTCTTGTTTTAGTTTAATATTCCTTCTCATTCTTTCTACTCATCGGCTTGTTCCTCTTTTTTTCTCTTCAAGATTAGACTTTCTCTTCTGATTTATACTAGGTGCTGCTTTGACTTCCATGGTGTCAGTTCAGCATTTCCTTTATTTGCAGTTTTGCAAAGCCATGATTGTATTAAAAAGAAAAAATCACTGTGATTCATCAGGCAGAGCTTTGGATTCGTACTCCATCCCAGCACCTGTCTTAGAAAATACCATTTTATAATTTTAATTTTTGAAGATCTGCTTCCATGTCTTGCCATTGTATCAAATGATGTAGGCTTCTGTTTCGCCATATATTAAAGGGTTAATGAATTCCCTTAGAAGATGCTGCTCAGCCATCAGGGCTGTGAGTACTTGGTGCATGGTGAATACAAATGTGGATGCTGAGTGTAATTTCTATTTCCTGCTTCCTAATCTCCCATGCTTTGTTGTAGGTGGAAAAATAACTTGTCTTATTTCTGAGTTCAGCCTCACAAGGCCACAACTGAAGTGGTCTTTGATCAAAAAATAGCAAATAAATTAGCTTTTATTTTGCCCTGGTTTCCAGAGGAGTATGTTTCTGTTGGCATATGGCACAAGGATTCTCTTTCCTGCCTTGCATTTCATGTCAATATGATGCCATGTGTTACATGAAACAGGAAGATACCATCTTAATATAGCACAGAAAAGAGAAGCTGTGTGGGGACATATGTTAGATTTCTCATGAGAGAAGGCTTTGTTTGTGACTTTACAATAGCGCGGGGAGAACTCTGTGGTCAAAAAAAAAAAAAAAGGCAAAATAAGTTTTGGAGACTTTTAAGAAGAACAATCTTCTTAAATGAGCAAATTGCATCAATCCAGGTTTGTCAGCGAATGCTGGAGGATGTCACCTTTCAGTCCTGCACGTAGAGCTCTGCCAAACTTTGCAATGACTGTGACGCTTCTTGAGCAAAACTGGTGGCCAGTTATCATGGAGAGTGGTTATAGTTAATTAATTTTTTCTACTGTGTCCAACTAATTCTGGATATATCTTTCCTTAGTGTGGGGATGGGGCGTAGTGACCAGGTGCAGCTTCTCTGCTTCTCTGACTTCAGTCACTCGGTGCTCCTTTATAGTTCTCCCAAGCATTGCCATTTTGCCTGTTGCCCTTCTCCATTGCCTCTACAGCCGTGTGTTTGCCACATGAATTTGTCACCTTTTTTGTCCTTATTTGCAGTAAACATTTTCACAGGAGAAAAGTGGTTTGCAAATTAAATGATCCTCAGTGCTGTTTTGGCAGGCGAACTCCAAGCTCATACCTTGTGAATAAGGAGCAGTCATTCTGTTTACAGTTCTGTCTTTCTCTTGCTTACAAGGGCGAGCAACAGTGGGCTTTCTGATGGACTTGCAGCCTGGCATTCCCCCAGCTTTCAGTTAACCTTGTGAAAACTGTTTGTGACCCCCCCAAAAAGCCCCACGGCCCTTTGTTTCCTTTCAAAAGGGAACGATCCCACTAACAGCTAATAATGGTATCTGCCTTGCAGTGGGTTAAATCTGGCTCCCGTGGCACGTCTCAGAGGCACTTGGGAAAAGTTACCAAACAAGTATGAGAAGCACCTCAGAGACCTTCAAGATCTTTTTGATCCGTCTCGAAACATGGCGAAGTACCGCAACATCCTTAGCAGTCAGAGCATGCAGCCTCCAATTATTCCGCTCTTCCCTGTTGTCAAGAAGGATATCACATTTCTACATGAAGGTAATGTCAAACACAGCAAAATAATAAACCAGGCACTGAATACATTATAGCCCTTTCTGTGGTGCTCCGTGATTCAACAGATGTCTAAAAGGAGGCTGTTGCCAGTAGGGCGCTTTTGATGCATCCTTTGTAGGAGCACAATGAAATAGAGCTGTGAATGCGTAATAGAAGAGACCAATCCCAGGCAAAAAAATAAACATTAAGTGAGTATTTCGAATATTTTAAAAGCAATGCTTAATCTTCATTAGCTGTGCTAAAGTTTAGGATGACTGTGCTGCCTAGTAATGACACTGCTAAGAGAAATATATTTCTCTTACAAGAACTTGTTGCTGCGGTGTTTCTAGATTTCTTATTCTGTGTTGTGGTTTTCAGACAGCTGTGATGGTACAACACCTCCTACTCTTGCTTTCAGCATTTTTAAGGGTTTTTGTTTAAACCATTCCATGTTTTTCTCCTTACAAAAAGTTCTGTTCCCAATTGGTTGAGGTGGAGCATTCACAGCTATGCCGGATTCTTGGTTTTGATCCTTCAGAACGATTTGTGCTGATTTCAAAATGTGAATGCTACAGATGTCAGCCCTTTATTTAGCATCCATGCTAGTGAATTTGGGCATACTTCATTTCCTCCTCTTTCCTCTTCCTAATACGTATTACTTTAGAAATTGATGAATGAGAGCAGTGCCTAGATAGTTGGAGTGGGTCTGTCTTTTTGCTCGAGTTTTTTGTTTTGCTGCTGCATTGACCAAAGCTACATTGACTAAAACACAGTTGTTGATGGCGGGCTGGAAGGCAGGAAGGCTAATGTGGGGGAGCTAGAAACACGTTCTATGTAAAGAAATAATTTTAATTCTTTTTGTGTGTGCATTTCAATCGTGCAGGAAATGATTCCAAAGTGGACGGCCTGGTAAATTTTGAGAAACTCAGGATGATTGCCAAAGAAATCCGCCAGGTGGTGAGGATGACCTCAGCCAACATGGATCCAGCCGTAATGTTCAGACAAAGGTGTGCAAATTAGAAAGGCAGTAGGATTGCAGGTGGCTCAGTGGGTAGGGATCTGGGTTTGTGTGTGCATCAGTACGTCTGTATCTCATTGTGTGACTTACCATTGACATTTACCATCAGAACCCAAATCTTTATCAAGTTTTGGCAATGCAATCGATGCTCCTAAGAGTTACTTTTAATATAGCAAGAAGAATATGCTCAATAAAATAATCAGTCGAATTTTAGGAGCAATATAGTATTAGGCAACAACCATATATATAAAACGAAACACAGAAATCACCCATCTGTGTATCTGAAATGTTGCTTTTAACAAACCAAACACACAAAAAACCTGATAAAATATTTAAAAATAAAACAACAAAGCAATATTTTTTATTTGTTCTAAGCACAGCTTGCTACACCTACGTAATGTTTGGTGTCTGCAGGCTGTACGCAGGTGGAGAGTGTCTTCTTGCCTTGTTTTTCTTCCTTTTTTTCCTCAGTGCAATACATCATCAGGCTTTATGTTAACAAACTGCAGAACAGAAGTGCTATGACTTCTAACGTGGTGCTGGTGAGCTCTAGATTACACTCAGTGGAACTGAGTAATACCCTGCATCTGTTTGCTTATCCCTGGCTAAGAGAGAGCATCCCCAGCTCTGGCCAGCCCTGCTGGTAGGGTCCCATTGGCCATCCCACTCCATTCCTGAGCTCAGTGCCCAACCACTGGGGAGCTGGGTCCATGAGTAACTGCACAGCATCTACTTAGAAAAGCAGCAGAATAAGCCAGTGGTTGGGATTCATTGACACCAATGGGTCCTGTTTGGTACTGGCCTTCAGGGCTGGCTGGTTTAAAATCAGCCTGGTTGAAGTCTGAGAAAAAATAATGAATCCCTCACAGAAGTTGTTTAAGGATTGATTCATTTCAAAGCAGAGGGTCACCTTCGTGTTGTTATATTTCAGCCCCTGAAACTTCTTTTTTAATCACAAAGCTGCTTCTAAGTTAGTTGTCTTTCAAAAAACATGGCATTCACAGATTAAATGGATGTGTACATCAGTTTCCCTGATACTCCTTCCAATTCTGAGTCCTAATGAAGCCTAATCACTAGATGAATTAGTATAAATAAATATTACCTTTCTTATCCTTACCAGAATTAACACAACACTTAATGACCGTAGTTTAAAAAGTGCCTACTGAGTTAAAATGCACAGGATCTAATATTAGTGATACTGCCAAAGATGAAAAGAAAACGACTCCCTGTTTTCAGCGTTCAGGTTCATTTGCATTGCCTCTGGTGTTTGATCTATCAGTTTGTGTTATGAAGCACCAACAAACGTTTTTGAAGAAGATTAAAAATGAACAAGAAAAGATGTTTGTTAGTGGTAACGTGAGACCCGCTAACGAGTTCATTGCCAATTAATACAGAGCACTGAGCTTTTCAGGGTGTGTTTGGCAAACGGCTTGTTTTCCAGCAAGCAATCAAGGGAAAACAGCACCATAAACATGAATACTGATGATTTCTCATACGTTTACTGCCATCCTAATGCAAAGAATAAATTAACTTAATCACGTTTTCTACAGTATGAATAAGTTAAAAAGCTTTTGCTCGCTCCATCAAAACTGAGTGTGACTTATGGGAATCACTTAACAAGAAAATGTAACGTGGGTTTGGATTTTCAATTCAAAGGTTAACATTAAAAATACGCAGAAAAAACTGATAGATGTCCTTCCATGTTGGAGTGTTTGAGCAAGTCTTGTCCTTGCATTCCATGAAAACATTGTGTTATTGTTTGAGAAGAATTTTGCTGTATAGAGATTTTTTTCTTTTCTGTTCTTTCCTGTCTACATCTTTCTTCCTGACTCTCAACTGTTTTATTTTTTTCCTGTGCTTTTCTGTTCAAATACATGCTTCAATGTATATGGCTCTTGCTTACAGGAAGAAGAGGTGGAGAAGTTTGGGGTAAGTGTAGAGCTGAATGCAACTAAGATAAATAAAGATTATGCAACTCTTAACATACTGCATCCTCCTCGTTAGTGCATGCTCCTGAAGTACAGCATGCATTTTATTAACCCTGCAATACGTATTTTTTTGACAACAGGAATAAGAGATTTTGCAGTCGACTTTGCACAGCAGCTGTAGAGATGCTGAGTCACTTCTGTTGCTAGACAGGTTGTTGGAGTTCTGGCTTCCTGCATAAAGAGAAAAACGACTGTGCAGTTGTAGCAGGAGGCAAACTCTGTTTGGAAATTAATCACTTGGTCTTTACGTGTCACAGATGTAAGCCACTATGCGTTTTAAACTGCAAAGAGGCATTGAGTTGATATTGGTTGAGCAGTTCCCCCCTCTGAGTTTAAGCTTCAAAGTCTTTATTTTTAGCGTGTATTGGAAATACACTTCATATGCCAGAACCCTTGCTGAAGTTTTAGTTGTTCAAGGCTGGATGTTGAAATGACTGTGATGGAGGGTACTGGGGTTACCTGGTGAGCAAGCTGGCAGTGCCATGGGGCAGTGAGCTGGAGGTGACCCTGCACTGTATTTTGTGCATTCTCCCCTGTGTCTTTGCCCCTCAGCTGCTACCTGCATACCTCAGCCTATGTGCCTTTGCCCTTTGAAGCTCTCCTGTTCACTCTATGGGCTCGAAGCCAGCTGTACATCCAGACATAGCTGTACACTGCGGAGGACCAGCAGCAGGGCAGGCTGGGGGCACCTTTGGGTGCTGCTCCCTGCAGTGAGCTGGACTGGCAGCAGGACGGGGCACGGCTCAGTGTGCAGCTCATGGTGGGGAGGGGGCCCAGGTCCCTCTGGAATCCTTCCAAGCAGAGCAGGAGGTGTGCTGTGCTGTGCTGTGCTGTGCTGTAGTGATTTCCAGCCTTTGGGATCGCTGGGAACTTGAGGTCGTAAAGGAAACTGTTTTTTAAGGGAAATGAAGCTGACTCAAAAAGTGAAAGTTAGAAGAAACAGTGTGTACACATGAAATAAAATATATATTATATATATAATTAAAAGGAAAGATGATGGTTTTTCCTGTTTCGTTACAGAATAGGCATTAACTTTGCTCTTGACTGTACAGAGATCAGTTCCAATGAGTGTCAACAGTCCATTGTGCCATCTGCTGCTCTTTGCCTGTAACAGCATTAGCTTTTTGTTTAATTAAGCTATACATACCTGCCACAGTTTTTAAGCTTATATTTTCTCTTAGCTTAATTTATGAATCATCTTCAAAAATATTGCAGGCAGGTGGTTTCCACCATTTCTTTGCTTTTAAACTCAACTTGTTCAATCCTTCAGGCTTCCTCCAGCAATATGTTTCGTTCTGTGTCTGTTAGCTATGGCAGCTCTTCTGTGCTGGGTTTTGTTTATCCTCCCACAAATGATTCTGGAAAGGCACCCAAGATTTTAAGAAGTAACTTTACAAAGAATTCAGCCTTTTAAAATCCTCTATTTTATTTTTCATTTTTTTAAATATAAAAATAAAAATCACACCCTCTTCGAGCAGCTTTGCTGCAGCTTCCCACGGGAGTTTTCTTGGAACATATGTGATGGTCTCTATTTACTAAAACATACAAATGGATTAGAGCTGAAGTGGCCGTAGGACTTCTGGCTGTTGAACAGATGTGATGTGTATAACTGTATCTTGATCAGTTGTTTGGGCACTGATGTCATCACCTTTCATAGATGTGAGTCCATACCAGCATATGTTTGTTATGGCTGCCATCCTGACCTTTGTTGGAATACAGTTTCAATGAGCTGCTGTTTTTACTTAATTGGAGAAAGAAATTAAGCATGCAACAAGTGGTGCTTTGCATATTTAACGCAGTTTTTTTCCCTCACTTAAGCACAGTCAGAAGCTCAGGTTTCCAAGAGGTCGTTTCTGTGGCCAGCTGGATGGTGGCAGGTTGCTGCTGTAAGCCTGCAGCACACAGTGGGCACCAAATTCCTTAGCCAAACGAAGTTAGCGAGTTTATCCTGCAGACATAGCGTGGGTTGTGCAGAACAGGAGGACAATCCATCAGCAGAGCAGATTGGGTGCTTGGCACAGCCTGTGCCACCTTCGTGCAAGTCCCACAATTCCACGTGCAGTCCTTTCCTAGGCTCCAATTGCTGCTCTTCTTTTGACCGGAGTATTTTAAGACAACCGACGTTTTAATGCTGTTCATCTTTTTTTAACTCATTTGCATCAGCATGCACTAGCCCTAACTGAAGAATATTGGTAATAACCCGCTTTGACGCGCACTGTTTAGCTCCCCGTTGCTGCTGAGACCCCACGCCTGACCTCTGTGCTCTTTTCCTTTGCAGGTCTCTGAGCCAGGGCAGCACCAACTCCAACATGCTGGACGTGCAGGGAGGAGCGCACAAGAAGCGGGCACGGCGCAGCTCACTGCTCAATGCCAAGAAGCTGTACGAGGACGCACAGATGGCGAGGAAGGTCAAGCAGTACCTCTCCAACCTCAACGTGGAGACGGACGAGGAGAAGATCCAGATCCTGTCCCTGCAGTGTGAGCCTGCCTACAGCACCCGTAAGTGCAGCGATCTGTGAGGGTGGCAGTTTGAAATGTTTAAAAACATGGTTCCTTCCCTGGAAACAGCATCTAGGATCTTCCTCCTCTCCCTCCGAGAAAAATGGCTCTGGGAAGCAGCTCGTTTGTCAGTTCGTATCGTCACAAACTGATAGAGTTTCAGCAAGCCAGCATTAACGTTCTGATCTTGGCTGAGTTCAGAAAACTTCAGCAACATTTTTTATTTTAACCTTTAGTTCTTAAAGTGTGTCTTTTTATCAGCCTGGAAGGAAATTCAATAGTACATTAGCTCTGTTCTTGCCCTGTTGTCCTTGTACAGAATTAGGAAGGATAAAAGTAACGTTTACCATATGAACAGCAAGAAAATGAAAAGAGACAAAATCAATACAGAAGCTGCAGTGACTTACAGCTCAGAATAAACAAAGATTGCTGAGAAGCAGAAGTCAAGTCAATATTGACTGATGGGATTGACATGGCTTGACAGTCAAAAATAGAGGAGTACAGCAGGACAGTTTTCATAATTTGAAGTCCTGTGCAGCTGTCTAACTAAACAAATCTTCTCTTACACAGTGCACAGTAAATTCTTATTTCAAATTGAGAAATGGTAATTGCATTTTATTTTGATCCTTAGAAATGTTCAAATTCCTGAACAGTAGGGTTGTCTCAAAATAGCAAAGTGGTAACCTTGCTAATCAAAGTGATGGCTCATGCTTGTTTGATGTGCAAATGCAGCATCTTAAGCCTTTTTTTTGTCCTCAAATACCATTTTGTCTGTGATGAGGTAACTTAAAAGCATGAATAGGAAATGACACCTTGAAGATAAAGCTTGAAGTCCTTTCCATTATTCTGTATTAAGAGTGCAAGTTCCCGTTGTCTCCCAAAGAGCCTTTCTGTGTTTGCTTTTTTTTCTCAGATAGAAGTTATGTAGGGAAAGACCACACCTGACTCCGTTTTTAAAATGTCAAATTCAGTGCATTCACATTGGTCTTACACCTGAGGTTGCTGGAAATAACAGGTAGCTCTGAATAGGAAGATGGAAGGCATGAGTTGTTAAGGTTGTGCCTCTTCTGTCTGGGATGCTGGTACATGGCTTTGCAGATGGCTTTTGTGCAGATAATTTTTTTTTCTCACATTCAGAGAAGTCAGAGTTAGAGCTGCCCACACTTAAGCCTTCTTCCTTTCTTCCAGCTCTGCTTGCAGTGGTTATTCTGCAGTCCAGACAATTCCAAGGTTACTTAAGGGGAACTCAGATGGCCTTAACTCCAGAGTTTATTAATTGCTGTGTAATTAAAGTAGAAATTGAATCAGTGCCCTCTGCTGTAAATCAATTGTGCCACCTAGTGAGAGATCTGATGCTGGATGCAGAACAACATTCCCTCTCCTTTCTGTGGCATTACGTCATTTTGAAGGAGATGCTGTTCTGCTTTTGTGCACGAGCATTTTAAATACAGAACTGAATTGCAGTCCAAATAAAACACAACCTTTTTGGTTTTGGATGGAGTACCTCTGTGACACTCAACAGTTTACTTTTTTAAAACATCATTTGTGCACCTGCCTCTTCAGTGTGATGAGACAGGAATGTTGGGAATACAAAGTATTCCAAATGTTTTATCTGCTTCATATCATAGTTGCCTTTATCTGGTTGTTCTTGAAATAAAACTGCGATTCAAAGGGCCAGGTATTGATATCCAGTTTTTCCATAACAGTGACAAAGAATTTAAGTGAGAGAAGAGGGGCAAAATCCTCAGAAATGTCTCCAGTGCCCATGAGATCGATCGGTCAGACCACTAAGGCCCATCAGCAGAACAGAATGAGCCAAGTGCTTCAGGTTCCATCTGTGAACTTATACCCCAGCAGGAAGAAGGGGCTGACAAAGGATCATGTCACCTTCAGTGAGTATCCCTGCCCAGCCAGCTGGAGCTGGGCGGATTATTTCAGATCCCTTTATGCAGGCGTCTAAGTTAAGTCCTTCTCTTGAATGATTCTAACTAAGGTAATCTTAATGTCTCTCTTGAACAGGTTGGATGTACAGGGCTGAACCGCTTCCTGTGTATCTTTATTCTAAAGAGATCTTGCCCCAGTTGAGAAGAATAGCATAGTTGGTTTATTTTCCTGACAAAAAGAATTATAATATATTTTGAAATCTATATATGAAATTGTTGGAACAAATCAAATACGTTTCATGTTTGAGCTCTGGAACGCTATTGTAATAGCATTATTTTCAAAAGGAGCAATGCTTATTTGTTGCCCCTTCTGAGCATGAAATACTTTGTTTCTAAGCTTGCCAATTGCAAAGCACTATTATCTATTAAAATACTTTTAACATATTTGCATAGCTTGAAATGACTCCGTTGTTGTCGTAGGTACAGGCTCACCACAGAAGTCATTAAGCTTGTCTGAGGAAGTAAGTAGCAAGAAGCAGACAGATGACACAATGTCCATGGCATCTTCTTTGCACTCCAGCCCCCCAGCTTCTCCTCAGGGCTCTCCACGCAAAGGTACGTGTGCTCCACGGGTGTGCAGCAGATGCCAGCATCTGTCACAGGATCATTTGTTGGTAACTTCATGTGAGAGGGGTGGTAATGTGCATAATTCATGTCAACAATAGAGTCGTGTGTTTCTATCCATTAATAATAGACATTGTTTTCCAATATATTGTGTATGTTTTGGCCTCTGAAGTGACCTAATCTGTAAGGAATGGAAGAATTAATTTCTTTAGAATAGCTTAAGTGCTTCTGACAGAGTTCCCAATGGGTTTAAGTCCGTCAGTCCTGATTTAGGTGACCCCTCAGGTGAACAGGATTTGCAAACCTGGGGATTTCCTGGAGACAGACTGCAGCTATTGACAGCTTATGTTTTTGCCTAAGGTAGCTGGAGTATCAAGGGATTAGAGGAAGCTGGAGATAAAATCTCCAGAACAGCTGGTTTTGATAGCTACAAAAGTAGTGCATTCATCCAAATCCTAGAGTTGCTGTTGATATTTTTTGTTCTTGTGCACAGGGCTTTGTATTTATCCCTGTCTATACTGATGCCCTGAGAATCCCTTTATTTTTGATACCTTCGTAAAAGACCTGCATCACTTCATCATTAGTCAAGCTTGGATGGGAATTCATTTGAAATCTCTTAACACCACTTTATAGTGAGCCAGTGTGGTCAGTGTCCAACAGTGTAAGGCATTTCTCCATCCCTTCTGTGCTACTTTCGACTCACTGGCAGCCCAGAGCCCCACAGCATTGGCATGGCATGGCATGGTGACTTGCTGCATCTTCTCACCAGTTTCAGTGGGAGATCTGCTGGCCCATCCGCTTCTGCCTTCACAGGATATTGTTTTCTTGGGGAGAATGTCACTTACTTAGACACGGCATCTGTGTAAGAACCTCAACTACTTGGGCTGCCAAACCCAGTTCCACTGGGATTTCACTTCTCTTCTATTTCTCCTATAAACATGTTAATTTAGTTGACTTTCTTTGAAAATACTTTGTTTCTTGGGGATTATTTCATTAATTCGACTTGCTTTTAGCATATTGTTAGCACTGGACTAATTTGATTAAGGTAATTCCTACCCTGTTGTGTGTGCACAGCTCATTGAACTTAAATTAGGTGCTTCACAGACAGCTGAAAGACATAATTTTAGGCATGAACACGTTTCACTAAACCTTAGATTTCATTTTCTTTTGAGCTATGCCCAAGTGGTGTGCAAATAAGATTGAAGTTGTGCTTTTTTTTTTAAATCAACACATTACTTTTGCTGTTATTTATCAAGATTTGCCTGTGTGTACTTCATTGTAGTTGGTAACATCCCAAGGTTGGATAACTGCAGTCAGATGAATCTCTCTGGGTCTTCCTCATCCCTCGCCAGTGAAACCAGCAACAAGAACAGCGGACAACGCAGCTATGGAATAGGTGGGGCTTACTTACAAAAGAAAATTCAGATGATTGTCAAAGCAAGAGACAGATCTGACATAAGCGAAAAGGGAGAAAGGAAGGATGAGAGTGAAAAGGCAGAAGCTGAGCGTGAGCACAGGAGAGAGAAGGGACACCTGTTCAGAAGACTTAGGGAAAGAAGCTTCTCCAGGGAAAGAACAGCTTTTACTGCAAAAAGGGAAGCAGAGCACGTTCAAGCCTCAGAAAGCAGCAAAACCCAAAAGGACAGAGACAGTGATGCTCTGAGTACAGCAAGTATCTATAGCAACAGCAATTCACTGACATGTGACTGTCTGCAGATGGGGCCTAGGAGGAGAAGGAAGACTCTCTGATGTATTTTTAGAAGACAGACTGATGTCCATTCCGTATCAGTTACACTGATGTAATCTATGTTAGCATTATGCAGTTACATACTGTATAAAGGTGCATTGAAATGTGTTTAAGCTGTTCAATGTACTTTATTCACCTGTCCAAAACCAGAAGGTGTTTGTGTCAGTGTTACTGGCTCACCACACTTTCAGCGTGGTAAATAACGTGAGATGTGGAAAATCAAGGAGCAGGTACAGTGGCAGTTCTCTTACTTAGTGTTGGCAGATGCCAACAAAACAGTAAGTTCTGTAACATTCTCTTCATTTGACTCTAAGTAGTCCCTCCTGTGAGGTAAATCAGATGCTCACTTCCAGCATTGCTGGGTTTGTGTGTGGATTTGTGCTGGCCTCATTCTGCTAAGCTTTTCAGCCCAGCAAAGACTTGCATTTCTCCTGTTCCTGTGGGTAAGTGCCATTATTGAATGACCCAGCTTTCAGACAAGAGCTGGTCTCACTAAGAGAGAGGAGTCCTTCTGTTCTCCAGATCTCTTAGGTTCTTGAAGAGGAGTGTCTTAAAGGGGCACATTGAGCACATTTCTTACAGCGGTGTCAATTTTAAAGAGACTATTGGACTAAATAAAGAATATGAGAGATTAATTATCGCCAAAGGAAAGGAAACTGAAATTTATTATTAAAAATGCTGGTCCTTAATGTTTATTTTTTCAATCATAAGTGTACCAGTTCTATAGTTTGATGATATTGATGATATTTTCTGCCTGTATTGCTCTTAAAGTCTCATAGCAATAATCAAGCTTAAACTGTGAAATCCCTCAAAGTGCAAGCTGTGCACTCAGTGGCTGTATGCTGGTGGCTCCAAGTGCCATCTTACATGATCTTTGTTTGAAGTATTTTTTGTGGACCAAATCACATCGATTTCAAAGTTGTATGTATTTCTGGTATGGTTTTTAATTTCCTGATCACTTCACGTTTTCACCTAACTGATGTGAATGTGTGACAGCCCAGCTGAAAGGCATTAGTAGGTAGAAATGATGTGAAAAATTGATTAATTGGCAGGAAATTGGAGAAAAAATACTAAGCCAGGGACTGTGTCAACTGTGTATTGATATGGTCTCCTGTAAAGCAAGAAGGCAATGTTTTCATTAGTTTACAGACACTCATTTGCCTATACGTGAAGCAGCTGTTGACCCAGTATTTTCAAATAAAGATTCTAATTTTATAATGCCTTGCACACAGTGTAAGGCATATCATAGTCTGTGTGCTCCCAGTGAAGGCAGGATAAGGCAAGGATGTATTTCTTGACATGCAGTGAATTTGCAATTGGGAAACTCAATGGGAACTAAGAAAAATAAAAAAAATTTAAGCAAACAAACGAAAAACAGCACCAAAACAGTCATTAATCCAGGACCTATTGCCCTCAGGCAAATGGGAGCAAGCTGCAGCTGTGGGACAGTTACTTGAGACAAAGTATTTCAAACAAACAACAAACTAGACAGATGTAACAGACACCAGATACCTCCTGAGTTTGTTTCCTGACAGCAGAAACAAAGTGAGCTTCTGCCTGCCCGCAGGATGGTGCATGGACTTATCCAAGGAGATGTATGCTCCAGAGAGCTTGAAATCTGAGGATCTTGAACTCAGGTAGTAGGAGGCTGATGAAACAGCACAGTGCAGGACCTTCCTGCAGCTTTCCTGAGCTGGAGAGGGCCGGTCCATCACCCCAAAGGACCCCAGAGCATGTTTGCCTTCAGAACAACGCAGGTGAAGTTTGCCCAGTTGCAGTTCTTTCCCTGCTCCTCTAAGATGCTCACAATAAATGGTTTAAGCAAGTTATCCATACTGAGGGAGTTTGTGACACTGTCCAGGGACAGGTGACCTGTTCTGAGTCACCTCAGCTGTGCCAGCAGAGCAGCATGCAAGGTGCACGCAGCCAGAGTGCATGGAAGGCCCTGAGATGGTCCCTTTGATGTCTACCCCAGGTGCTATGGGAGGTTTGGATATATGGGGCTATGTACATCATTTGTATTTGAAACTTGTTATTTGAGGGTTAGGGTGAACCAAGCAGGAGTGTGTTGCTCTGCTCTGAACCCACTGAGGCTTTCAGCCGTTCCCTCCTGCAGCCCTGCCCTGCTGCTGTTGTGTTTCCCACTTTCACTTCCTGATCTGTTAATCCTGGAACGGCTAATAAAGCTGAAATGGGCCATATGGTGTATCCCCGAGTGCTGATGGCTTGCTTTTACCTCAGTCACGTCTCCTCAGCCGCTGCCAAAATCTTTTTGTGAGTCTCACAACAGACAGGCCAGAGGAAGCTGTGGGAGCGTGCTGCAGTTTTACTGGGACTGAATGGTGCAAAATGGGATCTGACCCATCCGCCCACTGTGCACGCTGCAGACATTGCTCCTGTCTGTACTGGTGAAACCATATGGTGTGGATCACTGTGGAGCTGCTGCTTAGGTTATTGGGGGCACCTGGCTTGTGTTAATAAATTGCAGGACTAGATGCTGACATGCTAAAGGCTTTAGTACCATAAAAACCTCAGTGGACTGTTTGTAATCAAGTTGGGCTTGATTTTTTTTCTTCTTTTTTTCATTTAGAAAGCTATGATGTTTGTCATTGAACGAGACGTTTTCTCCTTCTCTCCCTCAGGCTATGCCCTCATTCCTTCCACCAAATCTGACAACTTCTCAGACTCCAGTCACAGTGAGATTTCCTCCCGCTCCAGCATCGTCAGCAACTGCTCTGTGGACTCGATGTCGGCCGCGCTGCAGGACGAGCGCAGCTTGTCACAGTCACTGCTGGTGGTGGACTCAGCAGGGATGGAACGGAAGGAGCATTCCCAGGCAGAGTATGGGCAGCCCTGCCCCGGGTGAGACACGCTGTGCTGGGCTGGCTGGGCTCTTCTGGGGGAAGAGAGGGGAACGAACCTGTAGGGAGGGTGGTTACAAACTGTGCTTGACCATGACCAGCAGTGGCCCTCGTGGTCAGGAAGACCAGTGATGTCGTGGTTGACCAGTAATTGACTGATGGGTTGACCATGAGCCAGCAGCATGCCCTGGTGGCCAAAAAGGCCAATGGTGCCCTGGGGTGCATGGCACAGAGTGTGGCCAGCAGGCAATGGAGGGTCTCCTCTCCTCTGCTCTGCCCTGGGGAGGGCACATCTGGAGCACATAGCACAGTGTGAGGCTCTCAGCTGCAGGCAGATGGGGAGCTGCTGGAGAGAACCCAAAGGAGGATGCAGAGATGGGGGCCTGGAGCACCTCCTGATGGGGACAGACTGAGAGCCCTGGGGTTGTTTGCCTTGGGAAGAGAGAACCAAGAGGGGATCTGCTCAGTACTGATCAGTATCCGAAGGGCGGGGGTTGGGGTAACTCTTTTTGGTAGTGCCCAGTGACAGGACAAGGGGCACCAGGCACAAACTGCAACATGGGAAGTTCCATAAAAACCTGAGGAAGAACTTCTGTGCTGTGGAGATGAGAGAGCCCTGGCACAAGCTGCCAGAGAAGTGGTGGAATCTCCTTCTCTGGAGATACTCAAAACCCACCTGGATGCTGTCCTGTGCAGCTGCTGTAGGGAACCTGCTTTAGCAATGGAGTTGGACTGGAAGATATCCAGAAGTCCCTTTCAACCCCTATGGTTCTGTGACACCGTGATGGTGTTAAGCATTTGCCAGAAGCTGAGGTATTGGCTGCTCTGTGTGGGAAACTTATGTTTTCCCATGAAACTTTATCACGTGGATAGACAGCAGCTTAATCACATCAGTGGGTTCAGCTGGATGTCTTCTGCAGGAGGCTGCAAATGTATTAAAAGCTGTTGTGATATTTAACAAAGCACTCACCATACAGTACTGGGAGAGCAGAACGGGATCCCAGCAGTTACCTCGGTCAGCAGTACCAGTCATTTAACATACTCTAATAAGATTTTAAAGGATCTTTTTGTTATCGTTCTCTTTGTGGCTTAGGCAGAGTGGAAGCTTTCTGCCATCTGCACAAGAGGTGGTGTTACCTGAGTGCAATGAGATCATATCTTTAGATGCCCCTTTCAACTGTGACGTTTTGGGTTTTACTACATTTTAAGCCTTTACCCACAGAGTTTATTATGTGGGAATCTCCTTGGGATGGCTTCTTCTGTCCTCAGTGTTGTGGAGTCAAGTCAATGAGAGATTCTTCTTGTAGGTCACCCCAAAAGCAATCTAATCGTTTTATGGTTGGACACTACACAGAGCTGTGTGTTCCTATATAATTGATTTTAATGTGCCAGTATTCTATGGTGTTCTCTCCTGTGTGAAAAAGATTATTAGCATTTGCTTTGCAGCTTTTAAGAAATTGATCTGATTTATCCCATTGTGCTGAAATGGGCATTAAAAGGTGAGCTTTGTAAACTGAAGTAATTCCCTTTTCTAAAATGCACAGCACATGCTGAGAGTGCAGTCAGAGCAGTCTGTGTGCCAAGCAGAATGTCCCTGTGCAGGGGTCCCTGGCACCTCTGGTTCTGGGTATTCAATGCTGAAGCACAGTGAGTTGCTGCTTGCTGAACTCACTGCTCTGGTTGCACATCAGAGGCAGATTATCCAAGGGCTGTGGCTGCTTTTCCATGCCTTAGTTTTAGTGGGTTTTGGAGGAAAGAAAACGGTTTTTATGCTAGAATTTGTAAAATAGAAAAGCAAGGAGAAAAGAAGTTATCTGCACGTATCTAAGAAGTTCCTTCATCTCCAGTATGTCAACAAACTGCAGAGGACAGTGTTGGGTTTTCGTGTTGTGCTTCCTGTGTTGTTCACATAAGCAGAGTCTACTAGTCATAACTTCTTGTACTCTGAATTCCTGCAAACCTGTCTGCTTCTGATTTTTTTCTTACTTATGTAGTGATATTGACCAGAGCTTCTAGCAACCATTTAAACAAGAAACTGTTGTTTTAAAAGCTGGTGAGTGTCTGATTCCCATTGTTTCCAACTGCAGCTGGTCGGTCACGAGGCCCGGTCTGATCAGAGGGATGGCCTTCACCTCATCCATGAGCAACGAGGAGATTTCCCACGAGCACATCACAGTGGAGGCAGCAGACAGCGGCCGGGGCAGCTGGACCTCGTGCTCAAGTAGCTCTCATGACAACTTCCAGAATATCCCAAACCAGAAGAGCTGGGACCTCCTCAATTCCTACCGTCACACCCAGCTGGACGGACCTATTGCTGAGGTTGATCCCACAAACTGTTACTCAGAGGAGGCCTATTTATACTCCGAAGCCTTTTCCAAAAACAACAGGCAGTCGAAAGCCAGCACGGAGCTCGATCAGTCTCGGCAGAGCTGGGCCTCCTCGAGCTCCCTGTCAGACACGTACGAGACAAACTATGGGACCATTAAACGCAGGGGGCTGGAGAACTCGACGTCAGAGCAGGCGGAGGTTTTGGACTCTAAACCTGGCACTGACACAGCTTACAAAACTGTTACTTCGAGTACAGAGAAAGGCCTGATAGGTAAGGCAAGCCAGCGGCGCATGGGAGCTTCTACATCTGGTCTGCATTTTGATATTGAGTTGTTAAGAAATGACATCAGCAGATGCGGGGGCTGGATTGCATGTTAAATTCAGCTTTACATGTGGTTTTAATTAGAGCGCTGCTCAGACAGTGTGTTTTCAAACCACCTTCCCTTGCAATACGAATATTGAAATAACAAAGCAGCACACTTCCCAAACACTTCATGGGTCTGCGGAAGAACTGCCTTCGTGCAAATGTCAGGCAGTTCCTCTCTGTACTGTGACCTTTTATCTTTCTGGAATTTGAAACCCACATCACTGCAAACTCTCATTCTGGCAGGGAGCAGCAAGCATTGGCTCCTCGAAGCATCCTCACAGAGCAGACTTTCCATGATCCAGAGAGAGAGGAGTGTGACTCCTGGGTGATGCAGAGCAGCCCCACCTCTGGAGCTGGGCACCTTCTGGCTGCAGTTCTTCTGTCCCTGGGGGCTTGAGGGCAAAGTTTTGATTTATGCTGTCATTTATTTGGTTACACAGCTGCAGTTTGGCTACAGGTGAAAGGAGAAAGCCTTATAAGATGTCTTCTCAAAGACGCATAGTTTCAGCACGTGAGATGTTCTTCCACTGTCCTAGTGAGTTCAGTGGCAAAACTGCCCAAAAAAAAGGATCTGGGTTATGAACAAGATAAAACATGGAGTGCAGAGCTTCTAAACTCTAAGCCATGAGTGCAGCTGAAATGCACATTAATTACTGCCTAGATTGCTAGAGGGCTTATGTTATCAGAGGTAATTGCCTGAATAAAGATTGCACACAGGGTGGAGGTCTTGGAGTGCAAGATACAGAGGAGCGTGGGGTTCCTTCCAGCAGACTTGCTCACAGTTCACTCCTATGCGTGCACTCTGCCCATGTCACCTCTCAGAACTGCTGGTGAGCTGCTGTATGGCATGTTAGCTGCTGTTCAGGGCGTGCTACGTTTGCTCACAGCTTCTCCCCTTGTTTTTAATTCCCTTTGCACACTGCACCGTGCAGCTTGCCTCGTGTATGCAGTCACAGCACACTGGGAAGCAGCGCTCCGCCATGTGCTTCAGCAGAGCATGCATTCACCTGCTTAAAGAGCTGATATAGGTGGATAGGATTAATGGTTTGCAAATGCTAATCTGTTAGCTGTGCATCATCATACAATATACCAAAGATATTTTTGCTTTATTTCACCATTTGCTTATTCCCTTCAAACAGCTTGTTACCAGAGTCTGTAACGACTGCCTGAATTCAGGATATTGTAAACAAAACAAGAATCTTCAGTTCATTTGCTTAATGAGAACTGGTGTTGAATAGTCCGCAAAAGAATTGGCACGAGCTTTCTTGCCTGAAACCTTCAAAACAGGGCTGGAAAGCTTCTCCCCACACAGTGATGGCAGACTGTGCTCTTGGCAGAAGCAGTGGGTGCGATGACTTCACAGCTCCGTGCCCAGCTCTGCATTCTGCAGCACTGAACGTTTTTTGCTGCAGCCTTTGCTTTGCAGGCAAGAAAGTGTGGGATGGTGATGGACCATCACTGTGTGTCCAAATGGAAAAGCTTTCTCGTAGTTTTTACCCACAGTACACATCACAGTTTGTTTCTGCCTCTTAGTGAGGTTTCCCTTAACCACTGTGTGGATCACCCTGTTGTCTTTATTAAGTGAATGTCTGTGTAGGTAATCAGCTCTTTGCAGGGGATCTGTGATGCACTTTGTTTTGTACCTTCAGTAGATTTTACCTAAAAGATGAGGAAGACACACCATGACATTATGGTTCTAATTAAGTTCAGATCTTAATTATTAAATGGCTTTCCTTAGTTATTCCTAATGCTACACTGTAATGGATTTCCCAAGCTGTGGTCCAAGCTTCAGTTGATCACTGCCATGTTTCATCTGCTGAGAGCACACATGGAGAAGGAAGGGGGTTTATATTTCTGGGAGTATATAGGCAGTAAGAGAGTGGTAGAATATCTCTGTTATTTGAGAGAGAAAGGCCAAGAGATGTGATTTTTAATTGGAGGTTGGAACAGGAAAGGGTGTAAAGGAGTTGCAAGAAAAAGCCCAGCCCTGCAGGACAGCTGGTGGGAGGATCTGTAACCCCCAGGGACTGAGAGTGAGTGACAAAAAATGATGGATATTAAGTGCTATTTATTTTTATAGCATTTGTAAAATAGTATGAAAGAGAGCTGAGCCAAAGTACCCATTATTCCAACCTTCATTATTAGGGCGGACTTGTTATTAGCTCCAGGGAAGCTGCAGCTTTCTCCTTTACAGGAGAACGTATCCACCCTTGTCAGCCACTGCCTCAGACCCAACAAAGTGAAATGCTAGTTACATGAAAACTCAATCAGAGTCACTGCCTTTACCCACCTCTACCCTTTGTTAAAACTCCTACCACTTGAATCCAGTGTTATTTTACTAGGAACCAGGCACGTACTGAAGCCATCCCTTATAAACCAACTCCCATCCCTGCTACTGATGCCCAGAATCTCACAAGTCCCCAACACGATAAGAAATGCAGCTTTGTTTTTCTTTTTCCACCTTCTTGTAAGATAAGAAGATATTACAGCTGTTGAAGTAATTGAAACTGTAATGAGCATGCACTGTTTTAAATGTATCCACAAGAAGAATGCAAATTTACTCTGCTAACAGATTTCTGAATTATCCTAGCTTTGAAACGATCCTGTTGCAGCTTGTGTATGGAAAAAGCCCAATTTAACATGCATATGAGCCCTTGAGCTGGGAGTGGGTGGGAGGGGAGGTCGTGTACTGAAAGCTGAGTTTGGGGTGAGGGGCTGTGAGATGTGAGGGAGCAATGGATGGGAAAGGAAGGCAGGGGGTGAGTTCTGCAACTGGCCACTGCCATTAAATGTTATTGTCAGCAATTCTTGGTGAGTGCAGAAGGTAATGGAGGTGATTTCTGGTTATTCATCACCTGTAAACAGAGAATTTAAGATAGAGGATAAAAATTAATTAAAAGCATGTATATTCTTAGCCATTGTTAACTACTGCAAAGTGCAGAACAGTGAGTGAAGGCTCTGTGTATACTTTGCCTCATAAGAGCAGCTTCACGTGATACAGTTTTTAAAATTCCTGTAGCACAGCTGATGGAATAGTTAAATATCTTACCACACATCAGTTAATGAGGTGGTATTTAATTACAGTGAATTTCAATGAAGCCCCTGAGCGCCTTTCGGCTGATGGAGGCAATGCCACTGGAGTCAATGAGCGGTCCTTGGGTGCCAGTGCTGTGCCATAGAATGCAGGGCTGCTGCCTGAAGTGCTGCACTTTCAGCTTCCTGGGCTGTATGAAGTCTCACAGACCCAGCTGCAGCAGTGCCCTGCTGCCCTCCGCTGGCACCAGCAGCTTCCCATGTCCCGCAGCGGCACACCAAGCTCTGCCATTGCAGGCTGGCTGTAGGGGATGCTGTGCTTCCAGCTGGGCACCCTGCCCAGTGAGTTCCTGCTTCTGTTGCTGCTCTGACTTCTTGAAATAAGTACAAAGCATAAACGAAAGCATAAATACCTGCTGCTGTCGTTATAACCAGTGTTTCTGCATTTGCGTTTTGTTATCAGTTTCTGTTTTGCCATTGTAACATTTCATGATTTTTTAACGTTTTGTTTCCTTTGTTTTCTTCCTTAACATTTCCATTGCTTATTTCTCGTGCCAGTGTACTGTGTCACCTCACCTAAGAAGGACGATAGGTATAGGGAGCCTCCGCCCACCCCTCCGGGATATATGGGGATTTCTTTAGCGGACATAAAGGAAGGATCGCCCCACCACCCACACCTAAAACCTCCCGACTATAGTGTGGCAGTGCAGAGGTCAAAGATGCTGCACAGTGACCTCTCTAGACTCTCGTCAGCCCCTCTCGGGAGCGACCCGGTGGCCTGTATTGCATCGAAGATGCCTCAGTGGCATAGTCGGCAGCCGTCCGGCCCCCAGCTAGCAGATATGCCTGGCGCAGATAGTGAAGAGGATGGTATGTGGAACACCTGGCTCGGGAGATGTTAATTAACACCGTGTTAATGGGTCTGTGCAGTGCTTCCTTCGCAGTGACGCTCTGGGCTTTCCGTCCCGCTTTGAGACTGAAACTTTGCTCGCCTCTAAATGCACAAATACGTTGGTGTGTGCATATCTACACCCACGTTTGTATATATGCACATCTGGAAAAATAATGCTTTCTTTTCAGAAAAAGCACGTTGACACCAAACAGAATTTAATTGCTATGGATGAGCCCTCCCACATCCAAACGAGATGCTCACAAGCATGGAGATGCTGGTTTTTCTTTAAAATGTGCCCCCACTCAGTGGTGATGATTTAAGGGACACTGTCAGGCTTTAAATTACATGTGGATGAGCTCCAACCTGCCTGGGTTAATTAATTGGCATCCCACTGTTTTGGGGATGATGACCTAAATTGGTTCTTTTGAATTCAGCTGTGGTCAGGCTTTGTGTAACTCTTACCTCGTGTCCCATTTGTATCCTTAATGTGCCTTCCCTATAGGGATTTCTGGAGTACGAGCTTAAAAACATTGAGGAAAACAGCAGTAATGCTTTGTTCTTCTGAAAAGTGCATTTAATGGAACCTGAGCTGATCCCACCAGCCCTGGCAGTGTCCCTTGCAGTGAAATTCCCCTCAGTCTTGTTTGAAGCAACAGCCAACGCTGCGGAGCACAGCATAAAATATCCTGTGATCAGAGTACAAGAATGCTCTTACATGGTGTCAACACCCAGCTAGGGCAATTACTGCTCCATTGTTTATCTGCTGATTTGTTATGTGCTGATGTGATCTCTCTGTACCCTTCCTGGTGAACTGAGTATTTATTAGGGCGTTGTGGTCGCTTCTTTCAATCTGCCTGGCTTAAAACAAACATTAATTGGGATGAAAATGATTTCTGATGCAAAGTAGTCCTGTCTTGGCCTGTTCTGATGTGTAAATGGCACTTAATGTGTATATTAGTACTGCAATCCAAATTTAGGGTAAAACTCTTACAATTGCCCAGCATCCATTCAGTAGTGATATCGAATCTTTCTGCTGAAAGAATAAGGAAGTAATTGCTTCAAACATCGTGATTAAAACATTTCTGCACTAAATTTAACCATGCACTTGTAGACACACCTCTCGCTGTGTTGCAGGTGCCTGGTTAATTTTATTTGGAACGTCTTCACAACCATCACTGCATGCTGGGAGGTGATTTAGTGCTTTGCCCTGAGTCTGTAGGTCGGGGGCTATCGGGAGCTGCATGCCAACCCTTGGAGGCAATGGGATTCCCCATTTCGCAGTGCATACACTGTGTGCCTCTCACACCTGTGAGGGTTTCTTACGTGGGGATCCGTGCTGTGCTGCAGTCTCTTGTTGAGACAGCGAAAGCACAGCAGTGCAGCGGTGAAGTCTTAACAGAACCGCAGTAATCAGATGATTGGGTTCTGTTCTGTGCTGTCTGCATCCGAGGCAGCAGGCCCGTGCAATAAGGTGCTTTTTTCTCTTGTTTTGCAGAAGATGAACAAGTATCAGCAGTCTAACCGTCGAGCTATCCACATAAACCACTTCAAAGCACGAGGGATGCTGGAAGGAGGACCACGGGATCCCGTTAGCGACTGCTAACGACTTGCTGCTACTCACCTCACTCATCGAGTTCGCCTCTGTCACGGATGGGATGAACTGTTGGGGTCATTGCTGTCCCCTCCCTCTGCTCTGCCACATCCCGGGGCTGCGTGTGCCCACCAGGCAGAGCGCTGGGAGGGCCGTGGGGCAGGAGGAGTTCGGTAGGATACCATCCATCCCTCAGTAGTTCCCTCCTCGTTATTTTCTACATCTAAGAGTGTTGTTTTATGAACTCGGAAGAAGAAAAAAAAAAAAAAAAAAAGAAAGAAAAAAAAAAGTCAGCAAAAAACCGAAGGACGTTGCTGCAATATCTGAAAATAATTTATTAATTTAAATTTCTTTGTTTTGGGTTTTGTTTTTTGTTTTGTTTTTTTTTTGGGGGGGGAGGGGGATGGGAATTTCCTTTGTGTCGGGAGCGCTCAGGTTGGCTGACGCTGAACGTTCAAGCACGTGCGATGGCACACGAGCGCCGTGTAAAACCCCTCCTCGTGCCCTCCAGAAACTCCAGGTGTGCTCCAGCAGGACGCGAAGTGCAGCCATGTGCCGGCCTGGGGAGCGCTGCCATCTGCTGGCCCTGCCTTCCAGCACAGCCCTCTGCTATTGCTGGGTGTTCTTCAGCCGCCAGCCGATGAATGGCATCGCCGGTGCTCTCCTCCCCTGCTAAGCAGCCCTTTGAGAAGCGGCAGCTGCCGCTCACAGCTGCGGGCTGAGTTTGATGCTTTCCCGGAGGAGCCTTGGCCGGGTTCTACGTGCAGAGGTGCTGCTGGCAGCCCAAACCCAACCGTGTGCTGTGGGTTTTTAGCCCTCTGCCAGAGCCGTGCAGGATTTAGGGGCAAAGGTTAGAAAATAAATAGGTAGAGAAACAAAACTGCCTTCCTTTCACGTTAAAATGACTGAAACCGAATGTTAGGCGACTGCATGGGAGCTGTTAGGTCACAGCCTGAGCCAGTGATTGAGCACCTGGTGGAGGGGTGCAGCCAGCCCTGCGAGCACAGGTGGCAGCAATCCCAGGGCCCTCCCAGGGGGCAGCCCTCCCCAGCCTCATATGAGCGCTGGCAGGCACAGGGGAAGGATGTCTGCTAGGAAATGTCCTCCTTTGGGATTTTGGGTGAGCCCTGCTTCTCAGAATGGGGTAAGAGATTTTTTTTCTTTTCTTTGTTACCAGATTGTGAGCGCTGCCTTGCTTGGGTGATCCGAAACTGCTTTAAAGCAGCTGCATCTGCTGCCTCCTGTCCTTACAGATGGCATAATGCTTAGGTGTGGGTGTGGGGGGTTGGAGAACCAGGTCTGTTGTGTTCTGTTGTGCTCATTTGGAAAATAGAGGTGATCTCCAACGTGCTGTTCTAAACCTGATGTAGGAGCCCTGGAGCTGCTGGTGCCCCTGAAGGCTCTGACTTGCACACAGCCCCCGTTAGCACGAGCTTCTGTTTGGTGATGGTTGAGTAGATAACAAATTGCTTTGGTTTTGTGTAGCTAACCGGAGCGCACAGGGTTAAAACTGGAAATACCTGCCTTTTCCTTTCCTTCTAGCACACGACGCCCCGTTCTAGTGTTAAATTGGACATGAATGTGTGAATAATACGTATTTAAACATTTAATTGTAAATCTTTGTTGTGATGTTTACAGCCTAAGCTAGAAAGAAGATGTTTGTCATTTTTACAGTGCCTCAGAAATGATTTCTATATCCATAGTTGTGAAGAGCTTTAAGATTATTATTTTTTTTTTTTTCCCCTGTATGCGTGCGGGGGGTGCGAGGTGAGTGTGGTGTCACAACTAAAAACACCCCAAAGCCTCTGATGTGCTGTCCCCATGGTGATGCTGGTGCTGCGAGCAGGGACGGGGCTCCCACTGTCACCTCATGGCACGAGCATCCAAGGAGCGAGTAGCTGGGAAATGGTCTTAAATCACATGAGGTATAGCTTAATGCAAAAGCATATTTTGCTGTTTTGAGGCCTTAATGAGCATCACAAACCTGCACAGGCCTTAATGAATAAAGGTTAACGTGAGCATCAGATCGCTGCAGGGCAGGGTGGTTCCTTTCAGCACGGCCACGTTGGTGATGGAGCTGTTGGACTGATGTCCAACATCTGATGTTGGACTGATGTGTGGGGATGGGATCCGAGCCCCGGCCGTCCCACTGTGCTGCTGTTTGCCTTCCGTGTGCAGTCCCAGCAGTGCTGGGTGAGTGCTGGCCATTGCTGCAGCCATTGAACAAAGGTTGGGGGATAAGGGCTGCTGTGACTCCTGTGTCCCTGCGCTGTTGCAGGTGGCTGCAGGTGACCAACCGCCCGTCTGTTCCACAGCGCTTTTCAGGGCACTGAAAAACTCATCAAGTGAGTGAAAGTCTGCTCCCCTTGTTCCCTGGTATCCAATACAGCCAGTGTAAATACATCACACGCCAACTATCGATGCGTGAGCTGCCCCTCCTGCTCCTCCTGACCGCACGGTGGTTTGCCCTCCGCTCATCCTTGCCGTGATTCCTTTTGTTTGTCTGTTTTAAAACGAACCGATCACATTGATCGGGGCCGATAGCCGGGTGTGCTGTGTCCGCTGTGGGTTTGAAGAGACATTATCCCTTTTTTCACAAAGGAAGGTGCAAATGGGACCCCAGCCGGGTCTTATGCTGCACCGCTGCCCTCCAGCAGCGTCCTTTACCCCCAGCCCTTCCTAAAGAGCAGTGCAGCGCTGAAAACTTCAGCGGGCCTCTGCAGCAGCAGAAAGGGGACAGTAAGTGAGCCCTGAGCTGTGGTCCCTCCTCCCCTGGTGCAAAGCATGGCACGGAGCTGCGTGCAGGCTGTCCCTATGGCTCAGCCTATCCTATGTGGGGAAGGGATGCTGGCGTGGAAGTTCTCATAAAGCATTTGGGTTAGAATTAATTTAAGGATAAGCTTCCCACTGCCTGTGCAAGAACAGAGGGGAAAAAAGGGATACTCTCTCTTTAGAAAAGCTTGACACGTTGTATTTTAGGATGCTTGTATAGAGGGTAATCTACCTTGAATTCCCAATCCAGCTTTTGCTTACGTTGTGCTTTTTATTGTTTTATCTTTATTTTTGATATACCTGGAATGCAGTTTAGCTTGGTATTAATTAAATTCTAACTATGTGAGCATATTGGCAAAACTGCACAGATGTAATGATATTCCAATAGCAATTGTACTGCACAAGTCAGTGATTGTAAAGTATTCTGTAACAAGCAATGTTTGTCTCCTATTTTTTGATACCTCTTACACTTATGTCTTTTAGAAAGACAGTGCCTCTGTATGCTTTTTGTATTTTTACTGAGTGATTGTAAATATTTGTTATATTTTTGGTTAAGAGAATGTTTAAAAGTACTGTTTATTATCCAATCTATTAATATGTTGGAATCAATAAACAATCTACATCCAGAAGCTTCTTTGGCTGTGCCCATGGGGATGCTCAGGGGGGCTCTGCAGGCTCTGCTCTCATCCTCACTCCTCCCTTTGCCCTGACTGGGCAGTCACCATCCCATGAAGGCCGTATCTGAGCACAGAGTGCTGCAGCTGTCTCTGTGCCTCCCAGCTTTTAATTCCTGTGTTCTGGGGCTGGGGAAATACAGCTCATCCACCCTCACTGCAGGAGAAGCGCTTAGAATACTTACAGAACCCGTGATGTTTCTGACAGCTCTTACAGTTTGTCACGTAATTTGGGTGTTTTGAACTTTCCTGAAGATCCTGAAGGTGTACAATGATGGGAACTGCTCCCACTTCTCCCATTCCTGACTCAGGGAAGCAGGGGGCCTGTGGGAGCAATGTGATGGGGGGGGGAAGCGGTGGTTGCTGAGCTGCAGCTCTGCCTGCATTTAGTGCTTAGGAGCAGCTGTAAAAATGAAGGTTGTAATTGTATCTGCAGTTCTGAGCCTCATGGCGTAACTTCATACCCTCAAAACATCTGTTTTAGGATGGTAGCTGGGAGTGGCAGGTAACTGGCTCGTTTTTCAGACTTGGTACTCACACCAGTATTATAAATTCACACTCATTTCTGAGCGAGCACGACTCGTGTTGCACAAAGCCATGGGGCAGTGGCTCTGGTGGTGGTGGGAGCAGCACGCATTTTGTTCTGGGACGGTGCTGATACGCAGCAAAAGCCATCGTGCTCTGAGGAAGGCCATGAGCAAGGTGATGGTGTCATCCCATCTCTGTGGGGAAAGCAATGAGATGGGAACTGTGTTCTGGGAGACCGCTGGCTGTGAGCACGGTGCCTGGGACCTGCTGTTCTGGGGAGGGCACAGCACTGGTGCCAGAGTGCATAAGGTATAATCCTTCTGTAGGTTATAATAGGGGTCGGAGGGCTGAGGACACGGCACTACACGAGCTGCGTGGTGCTGTCTGCCAGTGTGAGGCAGAGTGAATTTGGCTGTGTGTGTCCCTTTTTGTGTGATGCACACCCATAGGGGGAGGGCTGGGAAGCCTGTGCCCCCCTCATTGCTTCCTCATCTTTGTATTCCTGTACTGATACACAGCCAAGGGAGAGGAGGATCTCAAACAGAGATTTCAGAGCGATGCCATGTCCCACTGTGGGGTGCTGAGCCCCTCAAGTCCCTTCCCCTGCACCACGCAGTGCGTCTGCCACCCACCTCTACCATCTGCAGAGGTAATCGCATTGGGTAGAAGTCATCCTTAGTTTTACAGCAGTGGCAACTGAATGCAGTTGGAGATGTGACTTCTAAATGAGAAGTGGTGTCATCAGGGCCTTCGTAGGACAAACAGCTCAGAAGGGGCTCTGTGTCCCCATATATCTGTGCAAACATTCCTGCTCACTTTTAAGGCTTGAGTAACCCCATAGCTGGTTGCTAAGCTGGCTATAATGTCCCCAAAGTCAGAGGAGAGTCCCCATTATGAGCTTCTTTGTGTAAAAGGGAAAAAGGAAATGTTTCACGAAGCCACCAAACAAACCTCTGTGCCCAAAGTGCATCATAAAAACCAGTGTAAGAAGGGGAGATTTGGGCAGTTGCCATGTGAAGGGCCATGGGGATATTTTTCCTATGGGGTATGAACTGCTCAGTGCAACCCTACAGAGCTCAGCAGTCACAGAGACACAGGGAGATGTGCTGAGTTCTGTCCTTTGGTGGCTCTGTCTGTCCTTAGGCTGTGCCTGTATGTGTGCCTGTGTTACAAGACTTGTTTGTTGGGGCTCTGGTGGCTTTTCAGAAGATGCCTTTGGGTGGACATCTCCCTTGGTGCTGGGTGGCTGGAGCTCAGCATGGCTTTGTCCCATCCACGCAGGGGGGAATGTCTGCAGCCC